AGAAGGGGAGGTTTTCACCCCCCTTGCCCCTTTGTACACCTTTGTGCACCACTTAGCTCAGCCCAAACATCACTTACAAAGACATCACTTACCATGCCCCATGTCCAATTGGGACAATACCCTAGATGCGACACCACAGTACTCCTGTCAGATATACAGGACACAGACATATACAACCAAACAGAATTTGACATGTGCAGACGATTCAACATGCATACAAAGTCACTGGCAAGATTGGCCAGGACACTATTGTATTTGCAGAAGTTGGGCAGAGAGGAAACATACTGCCCCAGTCTGGAATAGCACATGTACAACTGAAATCCCTGATTCCTGTGAGATTGAGATTCTTTTATATACAACAGCCACTAGGGGCATGAGACAAAACAATATGGATGGGCCAGAGTTTAAGGAGCACACAGCAACACAACACTGACAATACAGAACTGGCAAACTACACAATAAAAGGATTGGAATCCCTCCAAATAAGACACCCAAATGCAACACATATTGGCAGTAGATCACCTGTTCAGAGAAGGAGGTCTATGCAGTTAGTTGCAAAATGAGAATGTTTCCAAGATACACCAAATAGTCAACACAATCAGTTTCACATACGCTGAAGACTCATATTGGCAGGGGTGGCTCACATCATGGGTGCTTGACTTGCAATGGTTAAAAGATTTAGTTATGTCTGAAATTGCAATTATCATGATGCTGTTGATATTATTGTGTTGCTTCACTTTGATAACATGTGCTTGTAGAGTTACGCTGCCCTCAGCCTTGGCCCCTAAAAAGACTGAACAGATAGAACTCTTGGATGTCAACCCAGTTAGGATGACAATAGAATATACATCCTTAGGGTGAAAGAAACATCCCAAGTGGACAGAAATGATTGGTCAAAAATAAGGGGTCATTGTGCAGCAATAAGATTAACTTCTTCTTTGCTCTGCTTTTGTAAAACTTGCTTGATTTGCTTCGCTGAAAAGATTTCATCTCAGCAAAAAGAAAAAGTGTGGAATGGAGGGGACATGGTTTTAAAAAGGGAATTTTCATATATTTCCCCTATGCCCATATGTCATGATTTACTGCCATATTGGCCTATTTCTGCAGTAGGCCTTTGTTCACAGAAAATGCTGATTGTTTGAGAAATCAGTGCTCCAAAGAAGAAGTTACTATTCAAGGGTAACAACATATCCGGACAAAACCAGCTAGCTGTTTGCTAGATAGAACCCCCAAGTTTCCCAGTCGCTCTGAAGCCATGTTTGCAACAGACTAACAGATAAGATACAGTCATGGTCAGAGAACAATGGACCATAGTTATGTTATAGCTGTGCCATTGTTAGGATCCCACGTGTGCTATAATGTCAATCAAAATCATAAACAACTAATGAACAACTGCATAGCTAACTTAGACCAATGAAATGATTTGTCTTTGGGAACCAATGAGATGATTGATTTCTATGTACCAATCAAACTGTTTTAATGAAAGTCATAAATAATCAATGCAACCAACTTTAGGTTGGACAAACCCCTTTATTGCATTCCTATATGCATGTTTGTCACTATTGCTTCAGCTGCGCAATAAATAGCATTTTGCAGTTTTAAAGATTCAACTTTCGTGGTGTCCTTCCTCGCCCTCCTTGGGAAGGGGCAATCTGCTCTTGGATTTTGGATTTGTGGATTATCTTTTTGGTTTTGGCCCCTACAATTAATCAGAGTGCAGACTGCAGCAAAAAATCAGAGGAAGATTATGATTTGGAAAGATAGCTGTGATGAGATCCAGAGGTGTTTATATATCAATGAATACTAAAATTAGGATTTTCCACAGTATCGTATCCCACATTTCTATACATGGTTGTGAAAGCTGGACAGTGAAGGAAGATGATTAGAAGGAATCAACTCCTCTGAAATGTGCTGGAGGAGAGTTCTGTGATATCATTGGATTGCTTCCAAGACTAATAAATGAGTCCAAGAGGAAATCAGGACCATACTTTCCCTAGGCTAAATAGTATAGCTCCTTTTGCCTCACCAGACTACAGACATCAGAATTCAATGACATGGAGATTGGACAGTTAAAGTAAAATCATAACATTGTAATTCTGTAGTGTGAATGAGCCCCAGATTTTAGTTATAGTTATATGCATGGTCTAAGAAGGCTGGGGGAAAACGGGCAAGTTGCAGCGAATAATTAGAAGGAGGAAAGTTAATGTAACCTCTCTAATTCTCTCCTTTCAAATTAGTGTAATGATATAAGCAGAGGCTGTGAAGTCTGTGGTTGCATTATGTAATGTAGTTCTGCCATATGTGCATTTCATAAATATTCTCTGACTGAGCCCATATACTGTTGCAGATATAGTTATGCAACCTTTTCTTATACTGAATGCCAAGTTAGTGCCTCACATGTGGGTCACTCATCAATGCACATAGCTGACAACCCACTGTCTAATTGGAGCATTCAGTATATTAAGACAAGGGACAGCCACACATTGCAGGGTGTATCTTAATGTGCTGGCACATAGGCAGAACTCCCACTTGTGCAGCTGCATTTATACCATCATTAGCTGAATAAGAGTTGTGCATTGTTAAAAAAGCACTCAGGCATAGTACAACTTACTTCTGTGTATGTCATTAACCAGATACACACCACAAGATAACAAGACGCCTCTAGATACAAATATGTCTTCCACTCCAGATGAAGTAATTTTTCATTGTAAACATGTATTACTCTTAATATATTTATTTATTGAATTTATACTCTGCCTTCTTCCAGGGATTCGGTTAATATGCAAGATAGACAATATGATTGTATAAGATGGAGTAGCTAAATTTGTGAATGTGTTTGTTAAGAAGAAATTGAAAATTCTGATTCTTTCCTCTTGGAGAATACAAAGGTGTGTGCACGCAAAATGTGACATCTGCTGTTTATTTTTTCAGTCAAAGCCTGACCAATAACTGTTTTAGCAAAAACGATTCATGGCTTTGTTCTACAGCTCCTGCAAACACATAGTGGAACATGTGATGTCAAAAGAAATCAACTCATCTTTAACGACAAACAGGCTCATTGTGGCATAAACTTTTGTGGAGTCACTCATCCACAAAAGCAAAGCTTATGCCACAATAAATCTGCCACAAGACACTTTTCTTTTGCTGAAACATAATGGTGCCATGTGAAAAGCTAAAGCACAAACTGGATAATTCTTTGCTGATTTGAAATCCTTTCCTCAAGTACTGAATTAATTGGAATATTGTAGATTAGAAACTAGTGGAGCCCTTACTTATATCTTGTCTGTGCTAAGAGTCCTTCAGTTGAGAGTTATTATCTTTTTACACAAGAAAAAGAAATAGTTAGGGCAAATTTAATATGTTTTGTATTTACAGAATGTAATGTTGCTGTTGTGTGAGTTGTGTGGATGTTCAGATCACTTTGCACATGTGTAGCAACATAAATCCGAGAAGACGAAGGTGGATAGTGACAAGAATGTATGTGGATCATCATAGGCTTTCTGTGTCCTTTAATGCAGCATATTCTTCTTCAGTTCAGCACCTAACCACCAAGGACACCATTATATTTCAAAGAACAAAGTTTGAAGAGTGACCCAAGGGGTGCTGTACAGCATTAGATTATTTTAATAGTTTTTAAATGTTTTGTGTAATTTTAATTGATTTGTATGTTTAATCCTATTTTAATATTTTTATGTTGTGGATTTTAAATTACATTTTTTGATGTGAGCCACCTTGCATCACAATCGAGAGGTAAAAGCTATATATATATATATATATATATATATATATATATATATATATATATATATATATATATATATGTATGTATGTATATATATATATATATATATATAGAGAGAGAGAGAGAGAGAGAGAGAGATGTGTATAATTATATATACAATTACACACACACTGTTATGTACCTGCTATTCTCTTGCTGTGTTCAAATAGTGTGCTGCAGTCTAAATTGTTCTCTTTTAGTATCTCTTCCCTGCCCTCAGTTGTTTAGTCATCATAGCACAATTGTAATTTAATGTGACATATCATAAAATATATAAGAGCCAGGAGCGGCACTTAACATGAAGCTAGATGTCTCAGTTTTGGATGCTTATAATTGCACTTATAATTGTAGATTCATATTAGAAGAGCAAACCACAGACCACCTATTACAATGCTGTCTGAGCCCTGCCGAATGCACAATGGAGGACCTTCTTGTAGCAACACCAGAGGCACTCCAAGTGGCCAGCTACTGGTCCAAGGACATTTAGTATAATGCCAAGTTTTAAACTTTGCTTGTGTATTTAAATGCATTACAACTGTACCCTTAATTTGCTTCTGACACGATAAACAAATAAATAGTATTCCCTTACTTCACATTTATCACCTTGGCTTACCGCAGATAGCTGCATGGTGGGGAATCATCATATATTGCTGAATGACTTTGCCATGATTTGCCATTGTTGGTCAGGCTGACAAGGATTGCTAATTCTCCAATATGAGCCCAAGGCTAACCTTTGTATGTAGTTTCTGTTGAATGTTTGCTGATGTAGTAGTTCTTTTCTGCTCTCACGAGGAGTCTTGTGCTGACAGAACCAGTGAACTGTCTTAGCTCTGTCTCTTAAAAGAATTCAGCCCCATATTCATTTTATAATGCATTCATATTATGCGAATGGAGAATATAACCATCCAGATAAGTCAACTTGCAGAATTTATAATGGGTGCAGAAGCATACCCTCTCATTGAGACTCATCCAATCCTTTAGGCAAAGCAGAAGAGGGAACTGAACACTTTCCATTTCTGGGATTTGAGTCTGTTCTTTTTTGGAGTGGGTGGTCTTGTTTTATACCTATTTAAACTCATGAAAATCTTGCCATTGGCAGAGTGGTTTACTGGGTTACTAAATCTTAAGTAAAAACATATAATTCTTCTGATCCAGGAGACAGAGAACCATTCTATGGTCTCAAGGAATTCTCATTTACCTTTTTTTCCTTATATTCCAGTGGCAGAAGACCTATTTGCGATAGAACACAACACTGATGAGTCAGCCTCTTCTGTCCATGTTTAACAGTAACATTAGGATAAAAGTATGCCAAACTTTGGTGAGTAAAGTCAGGTTTTCTAAACCTGCTACTTGTAGAATGGAAGATACATGCTCTACTTCTACTCCTTCTTTGAAGATGTGGGTGCTACAAATTACTCACATACATGTGTGCTGCGAGCCATCTGCAAACAACAAAAGGTGTAAGTGCATACCTACTCGTTTCCAGTATGTGAGAAAGTACTTTTATGTGGTTGAAGAGGAATATCAAAGGAATTAACCTCTAAGTTATTCTGAATCTTTGGCAGCTATTTAAGTGTTTTAAATTGTAGATCAGAAAGGCCAGGCTAGGGCCAAAAGATGGATATATATTTTTTATCGCTGTGGTCAGACATAGCAGGAAGTGAAGCCTGATACTCTTTAGAACTAGGATTTCTTGATAATCAGGAACAGAGAAGAGAAATAACTAATAATACTAATAATAATAATAATAATAATAATAATAATAATAATAACAACAATTTTATATTCCGTCCTCTCTCCCTGAAGGGAACCCATAACCCTTGTAGTCTGTTGACTTCCTTCCTTCCTTCTGATCTGCTGCATTTATGTAGCACCCCCAGAGCCCTGTAGCCATTTAATGAGGAGAAGAATAGAATTGGCTTTAGAAGGGAATATCTTCTACTTCATTCCCTAGGTAAGTCCTTCTCATGTCTAAGAACCTGCCCACCCAATAGATGGACTGGAGACCACCTTTCTATTTTAGGTGCCATAGAGGGGGGCAATGAGCTTTCTTTGTGAGTTAATTAGCCAGCATCAATGGAAATTCTAATTCAGATTAAACATAGGGCAAAGAGTAAGCTAAAACAGGCCAGTTCATTATGAGAATGGGCCACAGCCTAAGATCAAAACCAAATCATTTCTTGGGCTCTGAGGCTCCATTGTTTCTTGCTTTCATTTTTCATTCATCAGGATAGAAAATGGGAAATTAGGGGCCATAAACCTCAGAACACTAAAAGGAATGTGGTGCATCTGCCTATTTTCATCATTTTGTGAACCAGTAAAAGAACCACTGCATTTGAAGTGAAAATATGAACATTATTTAATAACTGATCCTCTGTAATAAACAATTTGAAAATATTTTACAAGGAATCACACACACAATATTTTACAAAGATTTTAGTCTTTTTTAAATTTTCCAACTCTTCTGTACAAAAAAAGAAATTAAAATAATAATAAAAAAGTTTGAATTATCAGAAAGAAAAATTTTCAAATGAAGAATGATAGGAATAAAATCCTAGCAGCTGTAAGAACAGCTTCTCAATGTTTTGCTTTTTGCTTTTTGTTTTTTAACTTAAAATATAATATATATATATATTTATAGTTATGTATATTTCTTTTTTATTTTTTTTTCTCAAATGAGCAGCACCTGACTAGACTACAGATTTACACACACTCCTGGTAACACAGAGCCAGCCATCTGGGCAAAGCACGTTTTCCCATAGACATAACCAAACACACACTGAAAAAGCTACAAGCAATATGACCTTTAATTAACCTTGTCGTTATTAATGAATTGCCTCCCTGCCCCCTGGAGTCACACTTCCAGGACCATATCAGGCTTATGGACTTTCCCTTTCCCACCCTCCTTCCAAAGCACAAATTGTTTTTGTTCAAATGGGTTTTAAATGGATTAGGCCTGTTAGGAGGTTTGAATTATACCTATGTCTTACAACTATTTTCCATATGTTGAGATCAAGCTGGCAGACAGGAAGGGCTTGTTGAAGCCATCAGGCATTTTTCTGAGGCTTATTAGAAAGGGGTTGTCCTTAATTAGGACTGATTCCCATAAAAGTTTTACTGGCTCCTTCCAGCCACAAACTTCCTTCTCCATATTGATCAAGCCTTTTCTTCCCTAGAGATCTTTGCAGTTTTAACTTTCTTGAGTACCTTTGCTTCTCTCAAAAATTCTGGAAATCTGTATGATGTTCAAATTTCTAGATACCACGTCTTATCTAACTTCGGATATCCCTACAGTTTAGGTTAGTACTCTTTCAGTTTTACATGGTTTGGGTTCTCTGCTTCCTCTCCTTTCATCATTTTAAGAGCTTGGAATTTTTTTTCCATTCTTTTACCACCATAGACTCAGTAATGATTATCTACGAAGCTACAATTTCTACTAGTCTGGACTCTCTGGAGATAAAGAAATAAAGTAGTGCTTTCACCTTCCCCATCTCTCCTCCTTAATACTGTCTCCATCTGCCTATAGTGGATTTATCTGGAAGAAAGACTGGAGGAATATAATTATAAACCAGGGGTGATTTTGACTGTTGATGTGACCTTAGAGATAACTCAAACTTTGCTGGGAATGGGTTTACCAGCCCTCATTTAAATTTCTGATCAACAGTTTGGAAACAGCTGGTGGTTATCTATATCAGCCGTTTACACTTATTTATACATTCACATGAAAGATCTCAGCAGGGCAATAACCAAGGTACTGCTTTCCATCTTCAGACCTGCACATACAGCATTGCCATCAGCTCATGCACAAAACACTTACCCTCCAACAAAAATAAAATAAAAAACAGTTTTTTAAAAAACCACCCACTTCAGTTAAAAACAAGACATTGTTGTCTCATATTAGGAATAGATCACGATCCAAATACTTGCCCTCTTTGGCTCTGAAACTCAGAAAAACAAGGCCTTTGTTTCTTCCTTGTAATCATTGTGAAAAACAAACATGAAGGACTATTGTTGAATTAAAGGGGTGCGTTAATGGCAAAGGGGAACCTTTCATCTACCTCAGACCCTTGTGGCCTTAGCCTTTATCAGCCTTTATCAGGGATATCTAAACATGACTTCCACAAATATCACAGATGACAGGAGCTGAAATCAGTATGGCCTCTGTAACCTCTGGTAGTGACTGATTTCTTGACTCAGAATTGCAGAGGTTGAATTCCCTTTGAAGTCCAGGTGTGATCAGAACAACTGCTAAGAGAGAGGAATCTGCCACAATGCAAATTGTGATCTGCCTGATATGGGACTATCTGGAGATCTTCCATCTTGTCTCCAGTGCTGTCTGTCCAGGAGCCTTCACTCCCCAATGAAAGGGAGACTGAACCCAGTGCCAGGAAAGTACGGGGCTGTCATTAGGATATTTATGCTAGATGGAAATACAGAAACATTTTACCAGATAATTAATCTGTCCAATCTCGGGAGCTTTAATGGACTACAACTTCTGCTGAACAAATGTCACCATTTACGAAGAATTTAGTGATATCTGTAACCTACATGCAAAGCAAAAGTTTAAACATAGCTAGTTATCTTTTCAGAAAGACTGCAAGAGAGTTTAATTTGTATTGTGCAGTGTTAAAAAACTGCTGGTCCATCCCCAATAGAAGTGATCTGAAGTGTTCCATCAACTGTTCTCATAATCATTTTCAGTCACACAGTTTTGCCCTCCCAATTATAACCTCTGGTGTGGAAAGCAGAAGGATGTATACCAATATATATTATTTTAGTACTCAATCCCTTTGTAAGCACAATCTTATGCATTTTGTTCTGATGTATCATGAAATCTCTTGTGATAGGATCAGAGAAAAACCAGTTCTACATGGTTGTAGCAGATGCTTGGCTGGAACCAGTAATGCCAACGTTTAAAATAGTGGTTCCGCTTTATTAAAAATAACCCTGTGGAATTGTACACTTAACTGGGTAGATGTCTATGATGTAGTTAATTTTTAAAAACCAAATGGAAACAGCCGATTTGAAGTCTGGGTGTGAAGCAAAGACAAATTTGTCCTAATAAGTTGCATGTGTACTCTTTTTGGCAGCAAAAATAAAATGGAAATTGATTGCTGCCAACAATGTATATTTAAAGAAATGTCTGCCAAACAGCTCACTTTTTGTTTAATCCTTCATGATTGATCATGAACCCGCCTCACCCTATTGGTGTTACATCTCGATACCAAAAGGGTTCCTCGTTATACATTTGTAATTATAATTCCTTGGATATGATCAGCTTTGAAAGTAATTATTTCTATTTCTTTCCAGAGGCTGGGAGTTTTTATCAGCCGCCCCATGACTAGAATGACCTGCCAGAAGAGATTTGACAGCTAAATGAAAATTAAAGATCTTTGTCTTCTGACAGGCCTACTCAATCAATTTTAAACTATTAATTTTAAATGTACATTCTATTAGTATCATGTTTTAATCTTTGTAGTACGTATTTTAATATATATATATTAATGGCATTGTGTTTTATCTGGTCCATTTAACTGTATTGTACCTCACCTCAAGCCACGAGAAGAGGAGGGTAACAAAATTTATTATTAAAAGTGAAATACTAATAATTTGATTACAATGGCTATTTCATCTTGAATGATTGTGTGATATAAAATACCAACAACAAGTAGTCTAATTTCTGATCAAGAAACAAGCATCTCTGTTGCCTGTCTGGCAAGGCACACAAGAAGTTGGGAAAAGCCTTTATATAAAATGAACTCTCTCGGTAGAGAAGACAAGTACTCCAAAACTTCTGCCATCTCCTGGTAAGCAGATAATTCTTTTTGCCTGGGTTTTCTCCACTTCTCAATATCAGCTATTAAGCAGGTATACCATATGGATATATTGCTGGTCCAGCACACTAGCCAAATGAAGTCACAGAACAAGTGGCATAAAAGAGGCCATGGTTTTAGTCAGACTGAATTGGAATGAACTGGGGATAATTTCAGCCAAGCACACCACAGACAGTTGCCCACATCACAAAACAATCACACAATTTGGCACGGTTTGGCATTGACCAGTGAGATACTGGAAGTGTCTCTATAACCAGTGTAACTGATCAGTACTGGGAATATATTCTAGAAATACCAGTACTGTATTCTACTGTTATGTCGAAGTTAGAGTTGTTTGGAACATCCCACTTTACTCTTCTAAAAACCTGTACAAGACCAATGAAGCAATACAATTACTCTTAGCATCAGATGTACCAGCTGGTGAAAGACTTGGGTGGCAAGACCCTTTTAGTCCCCGATTTGAAACAAATGACATTCAATTGGCAGTTAAATCTTGGGCCATGTGGACAGAGGAGTTAACAGTGGAGCTGCTTTTTAAAAGAAACCAGTTTTTCCCAGGTCTCAAGAACAAGTATCATTGGAAAGGAAGAAAATGCACCACAATATGTTCTCCAAAGGTCTTCTTCCAGCTCTTGATTTTTTTTTGCACAAGACATGTACTATGTAATTGCACCACACTAGTATATTTAGTAGAGTAGTGACCTGTTTTCACAATTCAAGCTGTACTAGACCAGGACCGCAGGTAACATCTTTGAAGATAGTCTACACTGCATGCTTTGGTACGATTTTGAACCCACCGAACCTTTGCAAGATGGACCAAATGTGTTGATACCCTTTTGTCTTGCAATGAAACAGTTGTGGAGCCAATACAAGTGCCAGAGTCCGTGTCACACACAAGTTGTGATGTCAGTGTAGAATGATGCAGGTACAGCTCATTCCTTGCTGGACGCTTTCCCCATACATTTGGTTTAGTACTGAAACACCCAGCCAGGATCACAGAAATTTCCCACAGACACACTATGGTTCATAAAATTAGTTCATGAATTTGGTCGCTTTCTTTGCTCAGAAAAATACAGATCGATGCAATTGACATCTTTGCTTTCTGTATTTCTTGGTAATAAATGCAATTGAAATTCATAGCACGCATGAAAGGTTGTGTGTCAGGGATCAGTTCACTGGAAAAGGCTTTTGGTTGAGAAAATGAGCATGTGAGGTCAAAATGAAGTGCACTATTGTGCACATTTCATGCTACTGTACGCTGTACCACATCACATTGTGCTGCAGCAAAAGATCATCATAGTTACAGATGCAGCAATTAACTGCTTCCCATTGATGAAACTGTGTCAAACTACTAGCGCGCATTGCTGCAGTTCTTCACATTGCCCCGATGTGAATTTCCAACAGCAGCTCTCACATCAAAAGAAACAGGAAAAAGAGAAGCTCCTTCCAACTTTGCTGGCTACTCCCAGGCGCAGAGGCAATGCACTGGAGGACAGGGGACAATTAGCTGAAGAGATTTTAGAACTGTCTTGTGACTAAGCCTCTCAGTTCATATTAAATGAGAAAGGTATGTTTATTACTGTATGTGCACAAGCAGTAGGCACAAAGGCTGGCAATTTGCCCTAGGAAAGTCCTAAACAATACGCAGCATTTTGAGGATACGGAGTGATGTATTTTAAAATTTGCAAAACGTTGTGCAGCTGCTGCCATCAGTAACAATTTCAACCATGGAATGTGTGCCTACAGAGCCACTTAATGTGTCCTGTTCTGTATCAGTTGAATGACAGCTGTCATTATTACACCTTCATACTTCCCTCCTAAAGTGCATTGACACTGAAGAGAATCAGCTGTCTGCAGGGTATCTGCTTTTTTGAGGCTTAGCTGTGCTCTATTCACCTCTGTAATCCCAAGACTGGATAGATGGAGGGCACTATAAGCATACAGTTCAGATTCTGTATAACATCGAGGAAGAAAAGCTTTGGCTATCACCTTCCTTGTTTGGTTTGGCACAGAGTGCTGTTGCCAGTATGGTGTAGAATATCTTTTACTAAAAATGAGACACTGTAAACTAGGAAGGAGGTCCTTTTTGTTTAGTTAACTCCACCATTGGCCAATCTCAAAGGTAGGATGCTGTAAAAAGTTCATCGTGTAGTCTTTCCAGGGATTTGGGAATGAGAATATTAGGTCTTGTTTTCTTGACTGACTCAGACATATCTGGATCCATTAAGGATTGGGACAGGCAAAATAAATGATTGAAGTCAGGGACTACTGAGTTTGGGCTGTTTTTGTTGCCCACTAGACTGAGACTATCTTGCTGTTCATTTTGCCCAAGACAGTGAGAGCTACTGTACCTGCCAACCATGTATGGGTCCTTAGAATGATGTGCCCACATATTTTTCCTTGCTTTCCATCTCCTCTTAGTTTGGAGTTTAAATAAATAATACTGACCATAAAATTCAAGTCAAAACCTTTTTCTTTGTGTTTTTGTTGCTGACAATAAATACCATAATTTATCTGTCTAAAATGCTTGAAAATTAGATGTTTTAGAAAGATCTAGATTAAAATTTTCAGGCTAAAAATAATAATTGAAAAATTGATTTGAGATGGGATCTAACTGATGAGAGACTCAGCAATGAAGGTCTCAGAAAGCACAGAGTGTATTGGGTGGGATGGAAATGCTGCGGTGACATCCTAGGATTACTTTGAGTTTGAGAAGCCACTGGATTTGGCTGAAAAGTTAACTAGACTAAAGAATCAATTTGGCAAGAATATTTTTCTTTTCTATTATAATTTTTCATCGTTGTTGCCGGCACTGCTTTGCATGTTTGGGATGGGAAGGTAAATTGTTTCAAACAGAATAGTAATCTGTCAGCATTGTTAAATGAATACTTTTTTTTAACAACAAGAAAATCATGAGAACTCTCCTGATGAAACTGACAAAGGTCTCCCAGAATTCCACAGATTCAATGGGGGTGGGGTGGGAAACGGCATGAGGCCACTGTTCTTGGTATTTGGCCAACAGCTCAATGGGTGAGAAGAGGAGCAATGAATAAAAGCCCAAGGATGTTCACGAGGTGGAGCAGGCCACGATGGGTCGTGCTTCCCCAAGTCTTGCTCAGAGCTCTTGTGTTTGCACAACCTGCTGTGCAAGGGCAAGGAGAGGATGGAGGAAAACGAGAAACAAACAATGAGCATAGCTTCTGGACTTCTGAGTGAAGAACGAGACGGTCCTCATGAGGGCGTGCCAAGGTGTGGCCAGAGCTGATGAGAGTAGGCAGTTGCCCTCCTCTGGCAAGTCTGGAGGGGATGGAGATGGCGCATAAACAAAAATGGATGGGCTAGACTAAATGGATGTTTCAAAGGCAAGATGCCAAGGGCAGTGGATGGCAACTGGCAGTCAAGTAGAGGAGGAGCAGCTGCAGAGATAACACGACACTCAAGGACGGCCTGAAGGAGGATCCTCTGCCACAGTCTGAGGTGTCTTCCTATGGAAACAGAGAGAGAGAGAGAGAGAGAGAGAGAGAGAAAGAACGCTTGTGAGAGAGACTTTCTATGCACATAGTCTGGGATTAGTTATGGTGCCTCTTGTAGCCATTCCTTTTGCAAGGACAACACTCTGTTTTATGAATTAGTCTTGTCTGATTAATGTAGTATTACATCTAAGACTCTGGAATGAACTTATTGTTTATTGTTTGTTTAGAGGCAGGAAAGGAAACTTTTTTTTTTTTAAAAAAAACAGGGAACAGAAGATTAAAAAGAGAGATAGATTAGCTGCACCTGGGAAAAGTTGGTAAAAGTTGCACCACCTCACTGAGGTATTCCCTAGCTTGGTGGTATTCCAGAATGTGAATGATTCAACAAAGGCCAGTTTTTTTGGAACAGATGTTGCAGAGAACATTATCTTCCAGTACAAATGCTGTTTCTACTTGTTGGCCGGAGAATTGCCTCATGAGTAGATAAGTTTTTAGACTTGTGTTGAGCTGCCATTTGAAGTGTGAAGATAGACCAGCTCCATATCAATACTTTCTGATTGATGAGGGAGACCCTACCGTGCTCTTTCAACCCTTGTTGTTAAATAGCCAGAGGTCACCCCCCCCCCAAAAAAAGCCCATTTCAGGGGCATCGTTGCACTCCTTGCATCCAGGAGTGTCTTCTACTTACTGTTGCATTGTAGTCAAAACAGACGTGGGGACCTTTTCGATATCGTGGCCTTTCTACTAGCTCACATTGATTGCGATCTCCCGGCGGAGCTTTGCGTTGTTAAGAAAATATGGCCCAATAAAATAAAACATGAGAGAGCATTTGAAGAAAAGTGATTTAAAATAACTAGGCTAAAGAATTCAATATGATTTTGACATTTTAAATGTTAAGTAATATTTATGGTGTGTTTCCTGTTTTGAACATCACGACAATTTTCCAGATTTTTTGCTTCCCCCAAACATCCTCCAACATCGGAATTCTCAGGAGGGGTTGCTCCTGTATACTGGGTGGTAGGGGAGGCAATTTGGAGAATGTTCCAAGGGGAAGAAAAAAGGAAGGTGGACCTTCATTTGTGACCACAGCTTTGCTGCTTCATCATCTAAATTTCCACCACCCTTTCTCCCCTTCCTGTTGGTAAGCAGCAGACCCTTTCAGAGCTTGAGAGCTGCTAGTGGGTGGGATAACATGAAACTATAGGCAGGGCATTGCAGTCTGCCTACTTTGTGTAGGACCTCTTTATATGGGCCATTTCACACTACATAATTATGGACATATGATTCCACTTTAACTGTCATGGTTCCTTTCTATGGTATCGCAGGATTTTCACATAAGGATATTCGGGATTCTCAGCCGAAGAGCTCCAATGCCCTACCGAACTACAAACCCCAAGATGTCACAGGATGCAATTCTTGCCACTGGTTCTTGCAACAAGGCAGTAGATTGTGCTTCTGTTTAGTATGCTACCTACCTACAGCTTCTGGGGTACTCCACCCCAATTCTCCTACCTGGTTTTCTGTTGCTGTTTTTCTCCATCTTTGCTGACTACGCTCTGTTACCCCATTTTTGGACTTTTCCCCATGAAGGGCACAAAGTGCTCAGGTTTCCCTAAGTTTGAAAATTTCTTCCTCTTATGTGTAGATGGGGCACTTCATTGATTTAAGGTCAGTGCTAGAAGTAAATTACAATCTATTATAATAAATGAATACAAAAATGTTTAAGGAAATAAAACTGTGTAGTTTTTAACACCTACTCTTGGGAATGAAGAAAATAAAAATCAGAGTAATCATATGAAATATCTCTGGGACTAGCTGGGACTAGTCATTTTATATTGTACAACAGGAAAGAAATCAATTAATAACAATCTTCCATAGTATTTTTTCCTTGGGGATGAAAATGTCATGTCAAACATGTTGACATTTTCTTTCTATCATGCAGTTGTTCTGAACACCAAAGGATACCCTTAATCTCTGCTTGAAGAAGCTTGGTGGATTCACACTGACTGCATATTGGCTTTTCTGCGACAACAAACAGAAGATTGGTGCTGGCCAGTCTTTGTGCATAGAATAGCCTGGAGAAGGAGGGAAAAACAAAAGGTAAGGGTGAAGTGCTGCTGTTATACCACTTTTACTACTTTTACTTGCTTTCAGATCATCGCTACTTAGTTTGCAAAAGGAGGAGTCATATTTGGCCATATGGGAAGAGAACTGTCATGGATAGCATGTATGAAGGGTTGACTGAGGACCTCGAGCCCAGCCAGGAACAGCAACTCCCTCAGCCACACCTAGAAGCAACAACTACTCAACTCGCTGGCCAAACACAGGAAGGTTTGGTGGAGCAAGCTGAGGAAGTGTTAACTGTCCCTTCCTTTCTGGAATATAGAAGAGAAAATTCTCAGCTGAGGTGTTCAGTCAGAATTGCTGAGAGGATGGCCATAAATTGAGATCAGCTGTGAAAGCATCATTTAAGGTTTTGCAGTGTGCTGCCCGATTGCTGGTTGCAACATTTGAAACCACATCCTGGATCCTGTGCTCTAGAGACATGTGAATGCTGTTTAGAACTTTGGGCAGTTTTGTTGGATGGATATTTGGTAACTGGATTGAATCACAATAGTGTTTGGCTACTCTTCAGCTTGTTCCTTGAAAGTTTGTTATTATTGAGAATTAATTGACTGAGCTTGGACTGTCTGACTACTCTGTTGATGATTCCAGGGTGAGGTACTTGACAAGAATATATGTCCAAGTAGTAATTGCAGAGAGGCTGCATCAAATATGAATAGTTCCTATGTACATACACTATGCTTTATTCTCTTTCTAAGTACATGCAACTGTCCAGACTCTGGAAGTAAACTGGGCCAAAGGATGGGTTGCATAATATTGCCAATAGCGTCACTTTTAACAACTTGATATAATAGTTGGAAATGCCACCAAAATAATGCTTTCAGCGTGATAGGTAGTTTTTGGAGGGATCATTTGGAAGGATTTTGGACTTTTAAATGTTTGAAAATATACATAATAATAATAATAATAATAATAATATAAAACTAACAAGTAATGCTGACAACTTCTCTAAGAAAAACAAAGTACAATCAATTATTGTATTTTTTTCTGCTCAAGCTTTGCCAACTGGAATACATTGGGTCCACACTAATCTATTTGTAAATAAACAAATAATAACTCAATCTGGCCATCTAGTCCTATCTTTGGGGCAGCCACAAATATGTGTGTGAGAGTGGGTTGTGGCAGTATTGTCCAGAGGGCAGCTGCACTCCTAACATTCATGAAGGTTGAGGGATGACTGTATTTTTAAAAAGGGACCTGAGCCAGGGAAACTTAACCACTTTCTATATACGAATACCTATGGGTGGATATCACAAATCTCACTACAATGGACATCTCTCACTAACCTAGAGCAATTTCCACAGTCAATGAAGTTGATATCAGTATTGTTAGGTGTACTAAAATAGTATTGGGTCTGCTTCATGATGCAGCTGGTCTCCTTGGACTCCATTCCTTCTGCTGTGACATCGTCTGTTAAATCAGATGAAAGAGAAATAAGAAATGTTTTGTTGCTCTTTGTTGATTATCTAAAATAGAATAACACTATAATTCTGTACATGCTGTTTCACATGTAAGCCTTGTTGCATTCACTAGGACTTACGCTCAGATGGGTATATACAGGACTGCAGTTTTCCAAAGCCAAGATTGAAAACAAAAACAAATTTGGGTATATAAGTGAGAAGAGAGGGGTGACTACTTCTTTTATTCTGGGAGCTGGAGACTTCTGGGTGTAGCTGCATCCCCAAATGTGGTTGCTCTTTGAAGAAAAGAGAAGGCTGCTACTTCTTTCTTGGGTGCACAAAGATAACTGGGTGGCCCATACTATATCTGGTTACTATGAAGAAAGTCCCAGTATGTTTAATGGGATGTGCTCTTAAGTAAGTGAGCTTAGAACTGAAGCCTAATTGAGACTGAAGTGACAGTTCAGTGCCTGCTCTGGTGGAAATGATCACTCTTAGAGGAAATGAGAGGTAAGACCCTGGAAGTCTGTTGGGAAGGGGATTTGATCATAAACACACTTTAATTGGTATCACTTCCTTAAATTCTTCAGTACTCAGAATACATATACTTTCCTAGATTTACTCTAAGTGGTTTTCAGATACATGTAGATAAAACATGATCTTAGGGAGAGAGTCTGCACTAGTGTTGAATAGCTTCAGAACAAATGCAAGAATACCTGGTAGTATCATTTCCTTTGTTACTCCACAATAAAGTTAATCTATAGTTGTATCTCACATCATTTCCAGGATGACATGTTTACCTGTTTGAAACCAGCTGTTGATAGTTAGTCCATACAAGAACTGTTGAAATAGAGACCTTGTGGGAGAAAATGGAAGAGCCGTTAGCTTATAGAAGAGTAACTTCTTTGATTTAAAAGATTAAAAAAAAACCCCACAAAGATGACTGTTTTTAATGCCAAAATATTAGAAATAGCCTAGGAACTCCTGGAAGTCTACTAAAATTTTTGAAATGTTGACTTTGAAGCTCTAGAACACGCCGTTAAGATGCCTCCATATATGGCTTTTATGATTCCATTGTACTCCACAGAGTAGCTCCATGTATTATATTCCTGTTTTCTTGTACATTTTTTCTCAAATAGTAAATTGTAAAAAAAGGACCTACCACGCAGCTGCTGAGGTCCACCAGGCTAGATTCAGGAAATCTGCCATTGTTGGCTGGATATAAAAAAAAGTAATAAACTGAAGTTATTAACAGAATAGTTACAATTTGTTTGTGAAAACATTTCCCTATAAGCACAACCTCAATGCATTGAGGTCTCATGTACTAAAGTAGGACCAAGCTTAGAGCCTGGGAAATTCTGTAATGTATTGATAATTCCTCACTTTTGAATCTTGACTGGGTGTAAATATGGTCTCTGCTTATATACTGCAGGGGAAAACTATTTCTATTGATGGTATTTGCCCTTTGTAAAGGCCTAGAATTATACATGAATAGGAATCGTGTGACTCATCACTGACTGAGAACAAGAGGTTTATGAGTGCCAAGACAACCCAACCATAACGGTTGCAAGAATATCTAGAGATAATAATTAGAAAAACAAAGTTCACACTTTCATTTCTCATATCAAATATAAGAAACAATAAATACAATTGTAATTTCTTATGTTCCAAGATTCAGGATTTCAGACATCAATTCTACTATTACTAAAGAAAGATGAGATACTTCTAACATCTCAGTGATTTATATACCCTGGTTTGCAGGCCGCCATTCATCTTTCATATCACATTCTCATGGTCTCCATACTCACAGTGAAACTAATAGCAGAAAATTAAATATCTTATTGGAACAAACAGGATTGTTCCTGTTCTGTGTCATGACAAACGTGCCATTGGCAAATGGAGGGTAGCTCCTTATGAGAAGTTACTTAAATGATTGACAGCAACTCTAACATTCTCTCTGTAGATTGCCTCCTATGTGGAAAAAGTATCCATATCACCTCCAGTTGTAATGTATGTCCCATTTTCTTATAATAGCATATTTCAAATTTTAGATCAAACTAGACTGTAGTCTGCAAAATCTCGATGGGATTCCTGATGCTAGCCACCATTCCAAATGCAAACAAAATTCTCAGGTTCATGCCAGAATAGTTCACAAGTTGTAGTAGCCACTCATTGTATAAAACATGCAACAATTTCTATCTGAACTAAACTATGAAGGTATCAATGTATTGTGGAAGGCTTTCATGGCCGGAATCACTGGGTTGTTGTAGGTTTTTTCGGGCTGTATGGTCATGGTCTAGAGGCATTCTCTCCTGACGTTTCACCTGCATCTATGGCAAGCATCCTCAGAGAGGTAGTGAGTCTACCTCTGAGGATACTTGCCATAGATGCAGGTGAAACGTCAGGAGAGAATGCCTCTAGACCATGGCCATACAGCCCGAAAAAGCCTACAACAACCCTATGAAGGTATCGTTTCAAAGATCCTTCTGTTTTGTTTATAATAGAAAAGAGACCCACATAAACCTCCTGTTCTCACTGACGTTTTCTCGAAAGCCTTCAGTTGTAACTGTGCCTGTATAGGATGTATCTGATCCTCAATCTGAAGCAAATTCCACTCTAATTTATAGTGCTTTTAAACTTCAAGTAAAATTTCAGTGTATGGGAACCACAACTAACCACATAAACTCCACGTGGTGCTCCTCCTGTGTTGCTTGGAGCTTCTGAGGCACAGACAGATTGGAAGTCGTATGATTCTTTTTTGGTGAAAAACGAATGGTTGAAGAGAGCAGACATCAAGTGTGCATCTACTTCGCTGAAGAACTTGCCTACCTAGAAAAGCACAGACACAAGCATGGAAACAGCTACCAGGATTGCTTTGTAATAATCTTCCATATTATTTCCTGTAGTTATGTTGTCTGCCCTCTAATCATATAATATTGCCAGCCTGTCATATTTGCCAATTTAACTCTTGAGGATTTCTCTGATAATCTCTAGGTCCTCCATTGCGACTCTAATCTCCTTCTGCCAGACATTGACTATAGAGTTGTGTTGGAGAACCTGGGGATTCCTAAAGAGGTGGTATCTTATGGTTTTTTCTTCTTATTTGTGGTTTTTCCACTTTTGCAGGGATTCCATTTTTTGCAATGGATGTGGAGAGTCTATTGTAGTCTCCAACAAGAAATAAAAACAAGGAATAAACAACACTAAACACATTTTTTATTTTATTTATAGCTTCTTAATCCATCTGATGTCAGAAATTTTCTGGGCAGCCTTTGAAAAGCCAAAGGAAAATACATTAAAAAGCCACAAAATATTTATTGCATTTTTAAATACAGAAAATTATGTGGATGTGCTTTTTTAAATGCTCAACTGCAAGGCAGGTGTCTCAATATAACTGAAATTTATATGAGGCCCTGCTTCATAAGCACAATCTAAATCCTTAAGATTCCTTTTTTAAAAAAGCTAACTTACCTGCATCCAGTAATCCTCCTGATTGGAGAGCACCAAAAAGCCCCCGTCATCAATGAGCACACAAAGGAGATCCTGGAAGATTGAACATCAGATAGGGTTTTGATGGTTTCTAAATTCTGTGCAGCATTAGTCTACAGCTGAGGTAGGCAAATTGGGTTTGTGGGCTAGGATTGATGGGAGTTGTAACCCACTGACATTGAGAAGGTCACATGTTCCCCAACCCTGGCCTACAGCCTAATATTTGCCAGACTATCCTGCACAAAGGAAGTATCACTTCAAGAACAATGGACACAAACCTCATGGGCCGGAATCCTGTTAATTAATTACAATGGTGTAAGTCAGGCCTATGCCATCACAATTTAATTTTATGGTTATTGTGTAGGATGGAATTCCGTTCCTTCAAATCTCACCAAGTAAGCAGCACAGACCCCCAGCACTTAGAGCGAGGAGTAAGGGGGCATATATATCTATTTTCTTGTAGCTGGACATACTGTAGTGCAAAAGCATCAGCTGTAGAGAGATTGCAAGGACCCCTGGAGGTCACTGTCACTGTGTGTTCAGCTTCAAGAAATTAGCCTGTCACATTTCTGCTCATCAACGAAAAAAGAGGAAATGTCTATTATGGAGACCATGCTGCTTATGAAATGAGGTTTTTTTTTGGTAATGGCAGGAGATGTAGCTACAGAGAACTGACTACGAGTTACATGTGCATCGATGAGTGCAGGATCTCAGCCATGAGTTTTCCAGCCTGAAGAAAAAGATCTCGGTTTACCAAACTGGGAAAGATGTCATTTTGAAACTGTAGAAAGTTGTTGTGAGTTGTAGTGTAGATTTTTGGGTATTCAGAATTCATTGCTTTGATATCTGAAGACTAACACTCAATCTGCTTTACAGACTTGCATCATTTTATAGAAACCTTTGGCTAATATCACAATTTGCTATTACATTCTGATCCCACTGTCAAAACTATGTAAATGTGCTTAAATATCTTTGGCTTGAATATTGTACTTCATCAATGAATCTGAAGAAGTGGATTGAAATCCAAGGAAGTGCAAGAAGAAATAAAACTGTTAGTTTTAAAGATGCCACTAGACTGCTTTTCTCCTTTCTGATAGCACTGCATTGGATGGATCAATGGCTCCAAAATGCAAAAAGCAGTTTCATCCATCATTCAGTGGCTTTGGTACTTTCACCAACTTGCATTTCCAATTCAACTAGGGCGAAAGCCTGGGAAGAATGCAGTGAAGGGACTCTCTTTGGTACCAACTGACTGTCAACCCCTCACCCAAACCCAACAATTGTGGTGGAAGAACTTCTGCTAAAGGGATAATGAACATGTGACCTTCCTATGTTGTTGGACTGTAGAGCTCATCAGGCTTAGTCAATAGGTGAAGGGTGTCACCTCTGTGGGATGATAGGAACTGGGGTTTTGTTCTATTCCCATGCCACTTCCATGTGTGAAATGGTCAAAGGAGTGGTAGACTATGAGTATCTGAATAGTAACCAGAGAAATGAAGACCAGAAAGTGTGTGATCACGTGTGTGAAACCATTGGGTCTAGATGCATATTTCACAACATTTAGAGGTATCTTTGAAACCTTTTTTTTAAATGAGGTTGTCATATGTCTTATCCAAGACAGTGAGATAAAACCTAGTATCGGTATATTATACTACTTTAATCCTGTTAAACAAATCTACTTTCCAAATGGTTAGTTTATTTTTTTAAACTCTAAACTCAAGTTGTGGTTATGATAGGGTTCAGTTTAGGGTGTAATAACTGTTGAGTTGAAAGTCCCTTAGTTACCTTGTAATTAGCCTCACAGTCCATCTCACAGCCAGTGGAGGGGTCACACTGTAAACCAAAGAAAATAGGGAATCAAAGCAAGAAACTTCTAAAACTAAATTGCTCAAATGAGTTTTATGTGAGACAGCTCTTAAAAACTATTCAGAAATAGCAATTGTTTGAGAGTATGGTGGCCACTTAACTGGAAATTACAGACTGGAACATACCTTTCTGGTGGTAAACCTTATTCACTGGCTTCCTGTTAGTTCACACTGATGATGAATTATTAAATCCTACATGGTTTTGGACAAAGAAGTTTGAACTCTTTTATGTACTAGAAGAGTTATTTTGAAGCCCTGTTCTGTGCTTCACAGACTTGAGATGGTAAGTTAGTGACTACCAAGAGCACAGCCTTTACAGTGGTGGCACTTGTTTACAAAATATCTTCCTTAGAGATATGGTTCTAAGTATAATATATTAAGCTGTTTTTTTACTCTTTTAGTTCATTTTCTGTAAAATGATTACATACTAGGATATGTTGGTGTCTTTTTAGCAACAATGAAACATGGACACCTTTAGGGATCAATACATCTCATGAAAGGAAGGCTGACATATCAGTGATGGAATTCTGTGCCTTGGACTGTGATGGAAGCTCCTTCTTTGGAGGCTTTTAAACAGAGTCTGGATGGCCATTTGTCAGGGTTACTTTGATTGTGCTTTGCCTGCATGGCAGGGAACTGGATTGGGTGGCCCATATGGTCTCGTCCAACTCTATGAATCTACCAGCCTGCAGCACATCAAGGATATGTGGGATATGATGTGGATTTCTGAGTGCTACTCTGCTTTAACTATGCGCCATTTGCAGGATAGTAGTCTCTAACATCTTTCACACGGGAATATTTTCTCTACCACCTACTCTTCGAGTTCCCAGCTGGTCCCTTTCTGTTCGGTTACTTGCAAGGACTTTAAATTTTTCCGCCCAGGCCTCCAAGTCAAGTTTCACTCCAACCACTATGGAAAAAGAGACATTTATGTTAAAGATGTGCTTGCCTGTCTGTCTGAAACAAAAACAAAACCTGGGATCCTAAGCAAAGTTAGATTAGAGACTCTAGAGCAGGGGCCCTCAAACTTTTTAAACAGAGGGCCAGGTCACAGCCCCTCAAACTGTTGGAGGGCCGGATTATAATTTGAAAAAGACATGAATGAATTCCTATGCACACTGTACATATCTTATTTTTAGTGCAAAAACACTTAAAAACAATACAATAATTAAAATGAAGAACAATTTTAACAAATATAAACTTAATAGTATTTCAGTGGGAAGTGTGGGCTTGCTTTTGGCTGATGAGATAAGATTGTTGTTGTTGTTGTTGTTGTTGTTGTTGTTGTTGTTGTTGTGGTTGTGTGCTTTCAAGTCATTTCAGACTTAGGTTGACCCTGAGTGAGTGTCGGGTAAATGACCTTGGAGGGCCGTATCTGCCCCCCGGGCCTTAGGTTGAGGACCCCTGCTCTAGAGCAATCCAGAAAATTTATCCAGGATCGTAACTACTGGGGAAGGAGATCTTTTTCAGCCCCCAAATTTCTATTACTGTAGTGAATGAGACACTGAAAATTGTTGACATCTAAAACTCTTACATTTCTTGTGTTTATATTCCCCGGGTAACTTTGCCCCTTTTCTCTGGATCCTCAACTTTATTTCTAAGTGCTTAACTGAAATTTTAAGTGATTGCAATGGAATTTTATCAAATGGAATGATTGGCCAGAATCCTATTATTAGATCTCTTGTGAGTAAAGCTGTTGAATTAATGAAATTTACTTCTGTTTTCATTCTCCATGCAAAGATTTAGTCAATGAGTCTACTGTAATTGGGACTAACAAACAGGATTCTGGTTTATATCACCAATAGATTTGTCAAAGCTATAAATGGTTTCAGAGCCCCAGAATCCCAGATTAAATTATGATGTCAAGACAGAAACACAAAGCTATGAAGTCTCTATTAAAGACAAACTCCAGATATTCTTACCTGCTGGTTTCAGGTGCCTCTCACCAAAGTTGAGCTCAACAGCTGTGCTAACAAGGATCCCAATTGTATTGTTTTCCAGCTCCAGTCCTCTGTAGCTGGCTGTAGGGAGAAGAGAAAAAGTACATCTGCCATCTGCTTGCTAAACAATACTGTACCACTGCTAGAAACCACTTCCTGGGTTCTGTGGCAATGACCTACATCTCTGGATGGATTTGTGGGGGACTGTTTTTAAGCCAGTGTCTGTTCCCCATTTCATCTTGTTCACAGTAGAAAAGTGTCACCTTGCTTTTTATGACCATATCTGGTAAGCTAAGAAACAAAGACATTTTTCCTGCCAATCACGTGGGCATAAATTCAATGGCTAGCCTATAAAAAGTAGACTCATTCAATTAATTGCTGAATTGTAAATCCATACATAGATGAGCCCCACTGATTCAATGGGTCTATTCTAGTAGGGTCTAGCACTGTATTTATGACATGGATAGCAAATATATGGTATATGGTATGGTATTTTATATGGTAAGTGATGCATTATATATGACAAGTCCTTCCTTCCTTCCACTCAGTAGAGCTCCTTAATGAAAAGAGAAGTAATTTTTAATTACTCCAAAACCATTTGCAGTAAATGTATGTTTGGCAGAAAAACAAATGTTTGCACACCATACCTTTCCCTCCCATAAACTGACTTTTGTAAGCAGTCCCCAAATGATAAAGGAGTTCACAAAAGCAATAGCAATTTCACCCAGCAGAAAGAAAATTATTTGTTTTATTTGTTAATTTAAGGCATTTCAACCCACTAAAGCAATTAAGGTGATGCACACTAGATAAACACTTTAAATAACTAAAAAGCAATTTGAACACTCTAACCAGTGATTTCCAAAGTAAGTAATATTGCTTCTTGGGGGGGGGGGGGCTGTAATGATTCAGAGGTACCATAGTAGGGTGGGGTGCAATGGGGGGGGGGGCATTGAATAAAAAGAAACGAAAATAAAGATGGAAAATATTGAAAAACAATTTGTATATGTTTCATCTGTTGTGTAATATAGAGTTAAAGCAGTAGTAAATGCTTTATTTTCCAAGTGAACACACAAATTGCAAGTTATAGCTGATCAGTGGTCAAGTCTGCTGATGGGTCTTAACATGCAAGTGTGGGCAGCAGTGCCAGATTTACCATCGTACTTAGGTGTGCTTAAACACAGGACTCTGTTTCCCAGAAGGCCCATCTTCCTGCCAAAAAAAATGTTTTACCATGGATTTTGCGTATGTGGTGCAATTCTAAATTTGAAGGTGTCCTGTTTCAGAGCGATTCTAGACATAATGATAGAGTTGTAGTCTATGGGAGTGTGCCACAAAGCAGTCAGTGTATGCCTGCTGGGTCTACCTCCTTTAGGGCCCTAGGAAGGGATCTCAAACTTCACTAGCACAGCGCCTCATTGGTCCTAAATCTGGCAGTGGTGGGCAGGTGTCATTGATTGTCAGGCAGTTTAGCATGCTTAGGCAGGACTGTGTGCACATAATGATTTGTTTACAATAGGATAATAAATAGGCACCATATATGAAATTTAATTTAGATTGCTTATGAATTGTGTGATAAGCAGTTAATAATAGTGAAAGTTGAATAAGTAATTTACAGTTTTTAATTCATGCTGCTGACAAAACAGAGCTGAACATTAATAAATTGAAAGCAGTGATTCATCTTTCTCATTAGGATTATTTCTTAATGTTATTTGTAATTTTTGTTTTTAATATTATCTTTCGCTATTCTAATTTTCTGTATGTAATGTAAATGTTACAATGGTTGATTTTAATAAATAATTGTATAATTTCAAGCTCCAAGATGACTTGTTTACAACATCTTTCTTTACTATGTTGTAGGATGCAGGTAGAAATATAGATACAGGCAGTCCTCAAGTTACAAACATCTGACTTACAAATGATTCATAGTTAAGAATGGGGTGAGACAACAGGAAGTGAGAGAAATCTTCCTTGAGGAAGGGAAATTCACTCCTGAAAGAGTTATTATCAGGGGGAAAGGGTGTCTCCACTGAAGCTTCACCCCCCAGTCATTGTTACCACAACAAGTCATTTTTTTTTCAAAATTCAATTATCACAGGGATAGAAAATGAGGTGAAATCTCCTGAACAGGAGCACAGACAGCAAAACAAACACCACTGGGGGGGGGGGGGKGTTAACAAACCTACAGAACCTATCTTGTTCATAACTTGGGAACTCCCTGTACATGAAAAAAATGCTAATTTGTTGGTGCATCTTGCTGTGTGGTCATTGAAGGAGATAGATTTCTGGGGGGCGGGGGAGTGTTGAGTAGTTTTCTTTTTCAGAAAAGAGGGTGGTAAGCCTTCTGTCTAGGCATTCCTTAGACTTACCATCCCGATAAGGTGGCTTAAAGATGTAGCCTTTGTTATCTAGGCTTCGTCGATAGAAGCTGGCATTGAAAGGTTCTCGGTCTTCTTCCCAATCTTCAGCAGCTCTGAAATGAAATCAACCAGTTCAACTGAATGTCACCATTCAGTTGTGCAAATGAGCCAGATTTATTCAAAAGCCTTTTTAATGGTAATCTCCCTAACTGTTCTTGGAGTGAAAGGAGTCCAAATGTTCATAATACAAATGTTGGATATTACATTTTTATTGTTTGGATGAATAATCCATTCCATGTTGGAATGTACTGGATGACATTATAGACTTATCTGATTTTTATTTTTCAACTGACAGGTGCAAACCTATTAAAAAAAACACTGTAGTCACAAGCTATTTATTTCTAGGGCTGGACTTACCATTAGGTACCATGAAGCAACAACTTCAGACAGCAAATGCTGCATTATGTGTGGAAGTGGCAACCCTTCTGAGTTCACTGGCTATTCCTTTCCCAGGGGGATAGAACTGTGTGTATCATGTAGTCTTTCTGCTCACCCTAAACTAACTTTCTATCCTTCGATGCACTTTATTTCACCCTTCAGTGAAATTAAACCTCAGTGTTTGTCCCAGCTAAACCTCCCCCCAGATACATTACCCTACTCATCCATCTCACCCAGGGTTTTAAAATCCTATCCTTTGTAATTGGCCCTGCCCACACAGCTCATCTTTTGTTATTTTATGTTATATCCTGTGTTTATTTTGTATTATTTTCTTTTGTTATTTTTTATTGTATTTTATTTGATGTATTATTGTATGATTGCATGTTTGTATTCTTTTTGCCTTGTTGTAATTGTTGGGCTTGGCCTCATGTTAACCTCCCTGAGTTCCCTTGGGGAGATGGTGGCAGGGTATAAATAAAGTATTATTATTATTATTATTATTATTATTATTATTATTATAGGTAGCGGTGAATGTTACAGTCAGGCAACCATATCCATGGATTCTCCATCCACAGCTTGAATATATATATTTAATATATTCCAAAAGCAAACCTTGTTTTTGCCATTTTATATAAGGGACACCTTTTACTATGCCATTGTGTATAATGGGATGAACACCAATGGATTTTTATAGTCGCAAGGAGTTCTGGCACCAAATCCAAGCAGATATTGTGGGCTCACTATATTCCGATGCCAGTAAAGAACTGTTATTGGCTTTGTCTGTTGCTGCAGGCAGAAAGCATCTTGGATTAGTCCTGTTTACTGTGCTTATGAAGCCATTTCAGTTTCAACAGAGATGGGTGCTTGACAAATCTATTGTTCTTCCAGTCATAGTTATATCACAAAACAAGCTGTTTATCACATCCCTGACAGGCTGCATTAGGCTCAATGAGTCACCAGCAATGTAGACTCATTTTACTGTCTACCTGTCAGGTTTTAGAGACAATGATCAGTTTTTTGAAATTCCTAAACACCATACAAGTAATTGTTAAAATATAATAGCTGACATATTATGGATGCCACAGTTAGTGACATATACTGGTGGATATTTTTTTTTAAAAAAAAATTCAGTGTGCAATACACGTTCAGTTCACAGCTGCTCAAATGGATTTTTCTGCATGTGTAACAAATGTTGAGAAGATGCAGATAATACCTTATTGGGTGCCCTTGACTCTTCTAAAGACAGTCAGTGTGGTGCAGTGGTTTGGATGTTGAAATAGAACCCTGGGGGCAGGGTTCAAAGTCCTGCTTGAACAGAATTATTTGACCAATAGTAAGGGCTAGAAACCTCTCAGTTTAAGAGATTAGGATAGGGAGCCATGCCTGTTTTATCTCACAGTTAAGGACATATGGTATTAATCCAAATTACTAGTTGGATTGGAACTATTAATTGTGTTGTATATTTTCTTTGATTGTTTTCTAATACAGTACTGGGAAACGAACGTACTCATTATATGCCTAGATTTTGGACAAAAACATTTCCATTTTAATTCTGCGTTTAACTCTCTCTTTTTGTTTTTTTTAAAGACAATAGATATATTTTAATTTTGACAGATGTTCAGTCACAATTTTGAGGGCTAATGCTACACAGCATGGGTCTAGGCCAATGGTTCTCAACCTAGGGTCCCCAGATGTATTTGGCCTTCAACTAAAAGAAATCCTGATAAACTGGCTGGGATTTCTGGGAGTTGTAGGCCAAAAACATCTGGGAACTCCAGGTTGAGAACCACTGGTCTAGGCTATTGGAAGAACCATTTGTTGTCTCACTTTGGAGTTGTTTCTGACCTGTGGCTTGGCTAAATATGTTCAGAAGAGGTTGAGGGAGTGTGACTTGTCCAAGATGGTCACTAAGAGGGTTTCATGGCTAAGTAAAGATTTAAAATCCTGGTCTCCAGAGTTGTAGTCCAATGTTGGAACACTACACCACACTGGCTACCTAAGAGCCCCCGGTGGCGCAGTGGGTTAAACCCCTGTGCCGGCAGAACTGAAGACCTACAGGTCGCAGGTTTGAATCCGGGGAGAGATAGATGATCTCCCTCTATCAACTCCAGCTCCTCATGCGGGGACATGAGAGAAGCCTCCCACAAGTATGATAAAAACATCAAATCATCCGGGCGTCCCCTGGGCAACATCCTTGCAGATGGTCAATTCTCTCACACCAGAAGCGACTTGCAGTTTTTTAGGTCGCTCCTGATACGACAAAACAACAACAACAAAAACTGGCTACCTGAAGGAAAATATATTTTCTTATATGTTATTAGCTAGGGACATTTGTGTGGAACATTTAAAAACTATGACTGAACTGGCATGTTTAGAATCTTAAAACATGAATTCATTCTGAGGGCCCTTCCACACAAACTTAAAACCCAGATATCAAGGCAGAAAATCCCACAATATCTGCTTTGAACTGGGTTGTTTTAGTCCACGCTGACATATATTCCAGTTCAAAGCGGAAAATGTGGGATTTTATTCAGCTGTGTAGAAGGGGCCTGAGTTTAAGATATGCAGTGGATCAGCCCATGGGGATGTCCATACTGTACAATTATAGTGTATTTTAATTGCCTTGGCTTTGCACTAAGAAATCCCGGGGTTTAAAGCTCAGTGAGGTATTTAGAATTCTGTCAGAAAGCTCTAGTGCTGTAGTTCATGGAAACAAATCAGAAAATTTTAGGTAGCTCACCAAACTATACATTCTAAGATTCTATGGGACGAATTCATGACAGTAAAAGCAGTATCAAACTGTCTTAATTCTGCAGTATAGATATATCCTATGATTTACAAGATGCTCCCTAATGCACAGCAGTAAATGACAGTGACATGTAGCTCTATGATTATTTCTAGAGGGCTAGCCTAGTCTGGAAGGGATGGGGAAAAGAAAGGACATTTGTGTGATCCTTTTATCTTCCAGCTCATTGATTGTGTACTTGTGCTCAGAGATCACAAGGATATAATAACAGCACTTACTTGTTAGGGAAAACACGGGTAATGCCACCATCGGTTGCAACAAACACAGCTAGGAGGCTATATCTACAAGGAGGCAAAAGTAAAAAGTTACAGCTGTACACAATAGGTTTTAGGAATAGCTTTGAAATGTTCCCTTTTAGACTATAGCTCCCAAAATACCTGTCAGTATGACTAGTGATTGTGCTTGCTAGCAAATTCTGAGAGCTGCTGTCCAAAAAATGTAATGCTTCAAAGCTCTAGCTTAGACTAATATATCACTCCTCCCTGATTTATCTTTGTACAGGTCGAAATCCAAAATCTTAAATACTCCAAAATCCAAATTATCCACATAGGTGGCTGAGACAGCGACACCTTTGTTTTCTGATGGCCTAACGTACACATACTTTGCTTTGTGTACACAATTATTAAAATATTGTATGAAATTATCTTCAGGCTATGTAAATAAGGTGTTTATGAAACATAAATGAATTTCAAATTTAGACTTGGATCCCATCTCCAAGACATCTCATTATGTATGTACTTAGACTTGGATCCCATCTCCAAGACTCATTATGTGAGACTCGCTTATCCAACCTTCGTGCATCCAGCGTTCTGTATTATCCAACACAGTCTGCCTCTCACTGGATCCACAGCTGTTTCAATACATTGCGATCTTTTGGTGCTAAATTTGTAAATACAGTAATTACTACATAACTTTACCATGTATTGAACTGCTTTTTCTGTCAATTTGTTGTAAAATGTGATGTTTTGGTACTTAATTTGTAAAATCATAATGCAATATGACGTTTAATAGGCTTTTCCTTAATCCCTCCTTATTATCCAACATTTTTGCTTATCCAGTGTTCTGCCGGCCCATTTATGTTGGATAAGCGAGACTCTAATGTATATGCAAATACAGGAAATCCAAGATACTTCTAGTGCCAAGCCTTTCTGATAAGGGATATCCAACTATAATTCTTTAGCACATCTATTGGGCTGTAATACTATGGACTATAAGCTTCCAATTAGCCGTGCCATGTATATGGCAAAAGTGGCACCCCGCCAGCACGAGATCCGCCGGGTAGTGCCTTGGCTGCATTCAGCCCAGTTCCCAGTATCACTTATTTCCTGGAGACCTCTTTCCTTGACCTCTTTCCTTGCAATCCCTTCCAACTATTGGATTCTAAGACTCCTTTCCATGCCATTTACTATTCTATGGGCAAATCACACTCCTGTAGATCTCAATTCTCAGTCTTTCAGCATTAGCTATTCTGGCTAGAGTTAATAGGAGTTAATAGCTGAAGTTCATCAACATCTTAGGTTGACACCCCCTATTCACTGTAAGCTCTGGACTTCCTTATGGATCACCAGACCATTTTGTTTTCCTCATTTATGCAGGTCAGCTTAGTTTTCATTGCAAAACAGAGTTTCAGGGAAAAACTTGTATTTTTTAAAAAAAATATCCTCTTGCTCACTGTTTTATTATTTACTGAATGCAAATACAGTTTTCTTCCTATATTGGGATTCATTTGGATTATGAAGCACCCCTAAACTGAAATTATATTTACGTGTTTAAGTCTTGGTCCCTCCATACTCTTTCAACCAACTGTTGGGTAATGCCTGTGTCCAGGATAAGGTTGTGAAGGAGAAAATTATCACCTTGAAGGAGAGAAAGAAAGATGAATGTTCTCAATGCAGAGTCATACTTTTCAGATAGCCGTGATGCGGATCCCTCCCCATCTGAAGTGTGATCTTGGGGAATGCACCTCTTCTTCCATCCTGGTTTGTCTTCTTCCTTTTCCCTTGGAAAACCCTTTCCCCTAAAGCAAGGTTTGGACATCATTTGCTAATGACTTACTATGGGAATTAAAAGGGAGTTTGGTTGACAGAATTCAGAAGTGACCCTTCTCACTTTACTACTCACCCATTTTATGTTCTGTTGATGTAGTTTCGAAAATGTAATGCGACTCTTCCAGATGATGAGTAACTCAGTGTATTTCAGTACTCTCTAGATTTGCACTACCACTCTACACTTTTTGTTTTTGTGCCATACACTCTGCACTCACAATACTGAAAGTCCAATATGGCTGCTGGTAACTAACCAACTAGACCTATTGCTCCTTCTTGCGCTTGTGTAATGCAGTTGGAGACATGCAGAAAGCGTCTCTGTGTATATGTTGGCTCAATCCGATTCTCTATGCTATATTCTATACCCCCCCCCCCCCCACACACACACCTTTTTACTCTTGCTTACATAAATTGTCCTCGGAGAACAGGCAATCTCTAGCAACACCTTTATGTTTCACCATGGAGATGGGGGAAGCGAGTAGGAACATGCTTCTTTTTTTATCCATTATAGAAGTGGTAGAGAGCACTGACAAGAAGGCTATATAGCAGTGGTTCTCAACCTGGGGTCCCCAGATGTTTTTGGCCTTCAACTCCCAGAAATTGTAACAGCTGGTAAACTGGTTAAGATTTCTGGGAGCTGTAGGCCAAAAACATCTGAGGATCTCAGGTTAGACCTCAGCATAGACCAATAGTTCTCAAATGCTGGCCATCCACATATGTTGGACATATTCTGGGGTTTCTGGGAGCAGAAGCTACCAATCTCTGGAGGGCTAAAAGTTGAAAAACACTGGTCTAGGGTATAAACTCCTGTGTCCTTAAGGTCATTTCTTAAATGCAGGCACCTTCTCCTCTTCACTTGCTTTCCTCATCCAGCAGCGGTGCTGAAAGAAGGGCTTTTTAGTCATCTTTGCTTGGTTCAAGTGGTGTGATGATATTATACTGATGGACACATGCCAAGTAATGTTTTTCTATTTGAACTGTAGAGAAGTGTATTCATCACAAACAGGCTCACCTGCTTCAGAAGGGCATTTCTATTATAGGCAGTCTTGAAAGAGTCTCTAGGTCATTTGATTTAAACAATTTCCCACAGGTAGTGCAAAAAAGCATTTTGTAACACCTTCAATGCTAAGAAATTCTACCTGGCATGAGCTTTGGTGGACTCCAGGCCCCCTTCATCCGATGAAGTGGGCTGGAATTCATGGAAGCACACTCTGATGTTTTTGCTACTAATGATTAATACAGCAACAGACACACCTTGAACTGGTGTAAGAGAATCTTTTAACACTTGAAATATAGCCAACACATTCCCATCCTAATTATCTTAATAAATAAAGCGACCGAGGAAGGACATTCTATTACCTCCCAAAACTCATTTTGCTATTGAATTGATTTGTAGCTAGAATAATGTTTAATACGTCTATAACTTTCATGCACTGTAATCACACTCTTTCCTATACCTTCCATATGGAATGAACTGTTTGTCTTAGTTCTTAGCCTTTCTCCTAGGAGCAAACAGGTTGCAGATTGGTAAGGCTTTTGTTAGACCCACAGGATACTAGACTCATATGCACTTGTGAGCAAACTCAGTCATGCCAAGATGGGAGGCTTTTGTAGCTGTTGTCACACAGTCTTGGCAAGTGACATTAATAAATGTCCAAGTTGGAACACTTTTCTCAGCTTAGCACCATTGAACTTAATGCAGCTTATGCCTGAAGATACATGCACAGAGGCCGTGCATCTATTAATCTGGATGGACATTGCTAATCATTTATATTGAGTGGGCAAATTGTTATCTGATATTATTGGACTGCAACTCCCATCACTGCTCCATATTGACTTTGTTAGTTATAGAAGATTGAGTTGTAGTTAACTAATTTCTGGAGAACCACATTTTGCTCATCTAATGTATATTCTTTCATAATATATTGCTGTCATTTCCAGTCTTAGGATGCAGTAATACTAATCCACACTAGCTCTTTCTTCAGGCATATTCAAAGGACATAGTTAAGGACAATATTCAAACTTTTTGGGGCCTCTATATGCCCCTGTAGGAAAAATTTTGGCTCAGGAGGAGCCAGGAGGTGATACCAAAATTGGCTTCTGAGGTACTTATTTAACGCCCCCCCCCCCTTTTTTATTATGAGGGCTACAATATTGCAATTTTCACCCTGATGAAAATCAGTGGTGACTGACAGTGGGCTGTTGGACTGAAACTATTCTCAGTCCAATGAATATTGCCAATGGCAAGGTATCATGGAAGATGCAGTCCCAAAAACACCAGGATCTTAGCTGCCCACCCCAAAATAAATGTCATTCTATTTTAACTAAATGTGTCTCCTTAAAAGCAGAAGTATTCTGTTCTTTCTCAGTTTTCTTTAGATTCTTTTACCTAAACAGTGCCTGGTGTTTCTCAAGATGAGTGTGTGTCCGCTGCACATTCCTGGGTACTTACATTGCTTGGAGTCGGGCGTCACCTTTTCCATGAGGGCGATAAAGTTTTCCAGGAATTCAGTGTTGTTATCCGACAGGTTGAGGTCTTTGCAATATTCTCTGTGGTTACGATGAAAAGATTCGTTGTTTGGAAGGATGAAAAAGTTACGGTCAGTTTTTTCCCCTCTAAGAATGGGTATCATCATGACTTTGTATGTAACGTAGGTGAAGCAGTTACCAGAGATGCTGCTGTTGTGCATAAGAACACAGGCTGCATAATATCTGTAGTTGTAGATGCATAGTTTCAAGTTTGATATCTGGTCAGAAATATGCTACAATCAGATATCAATACCTACCTACTCTTGGAATGTATTTCTATTGATTTCTTTAAATGTGTTTTCATGTATGTGAGTAAGAGAGTATATAAGAGAGTGAGGGAAGGCAAACAAGAAACACACAAGAAACTGAAATGTCTCAAAACAGCTATCTATACAAGAGGTCCTAGTCTCTCTATCTGACTGATGCCAGCTTTGATAAGAGTGACCAAAATATATGGATAACAGTGTTCTTAAAACAAGTTGTCATGGCTCCTTTCAAGAAGACCTAGAAAACTGCATGGGGTTGATTTACAAAAGAGCACTGGGTAATACTTGGAATTTATTGGCGACATCAAAAACCTGTGGCATTCACTTATTCCTGTACTTCACTGATGCCATCAAATACCATCTGAATGGGCTGCTAATTCCATTATTAAATCAGCACTGTGTGGAACCATAACATGATTTTTTTTTAAAATTGTGCAGTAATTGTCCTAGTCTTCTTTGAAAATAAATGGCTTAATTAAAGCCTTTTAGCTAGTGGAAAGACTCATAAGAAAAATAACATCCCTTCCTTGAAGCTGATCTACTATTTTAAAGCTCTAGAGCAAGAATGGATGGGAATTAGAGACCTTATAAGTCTCCCAGTGGATTCTGGAGAGCTATACTTATCAACTGCAAATATACTTCCTCAACTTGCTAGCAGACTAGGGTAGGCAATACATGATTTACAGGCCATCATCAGGTTTGTCCCCAGAGCTACCTTTTCTGTCAAACAAGGTGCACAACACCTGTCTACTGTATTTATAAATGGAATTGTACTCCGGAAACCTCTTGGAAGCATGTTTTACTAGTCAACAAAACACATAAGATGTGCACCTTGTTGTAAAATAAAAAGCCCTAAGGAATATTTCTTTGCTGCTGCTACAACAAATTCAGTAGTGGTGACTACAGGCTGTGACCCAATAGGTCTGGAGGTAGCAATGTGTTCCCCTGCAATGTGATCCTATGCTGAATAAAGTTTTCACTTGCAAAAATGTAATGTCAGTGGAGTACACTGTAATTCAATGGGGAGACAAACTTCACGAGAAGTTATCAGCTGTGCAAACTGTCTAGCTCTCTATCTTGCACAATATTTTCTGATTTGACTGAGTAGCCAGGAGCACTTGCGAAGTGAGTAGAGTGAAAAGTAGATTAAGCACTTGGTGTCTGGACTCTAAAGAGCAGTGCTTGGGAGGACGCACTGGATTTGGAAGAGACCTCTACATTTCTTGCATGAACTCCCACTGATAATGTTTGTTGGACTTTCCTAGGAAGCACCTTATATTTTCTGTAAGTAGGATGAATGTACTTACCTGCCTCTAGAAGAGGGAAAGAGGTGTTGGTCAAGTGACATAACCAAAAATATAAAGGGATTATCTGGTCTGTTTTTAAAATATATATATTTATAGTTTTTGCTTTCTTCTCAATAATAAAGAAAGAAAAAACTGAACTTTTGATAAATGTATATTTGCTGTATTCACTCAGTGCTCAACTTCGCATATGCTCTCAAATATGATGCTTTCACTAGCTCTAATCTCAGTCAAACCAAATAGTTAAACATTAATGCCACTGTCCTTTATAGACAAAATCTTTAGTAAGTCTTCATTTTGCATTGTATTAAATTTGTAAAATACTTCTCCCTTTCAAGGAAACTGGGGGACAGGATAGGAAGGAGTGGAGAAAGGAAGTGTGAGCGAAAACATACAAAACAGACAAAACAAATCATGCCTGATATTGGGCATGATCTGTATTTAGATGGATTGGCCCATGATTTTGACTGTCGTACCTCCACTAACAAATCTTAAGGCTCAAAGCAACCAAGATGCTAACTAGACTGCATTGTATCTTTACACATTTACCTGTGCCTGAAATGGGCAAGAGCAGCACTGGGCAACTTAAAGATTCCATCTTGGAAGTCAATCATCTTTGATAAACCTTTCAGGGAGTTCTGCAGCCATGGAGATTTTCTCTTCACTGATAAAATTAGTAGCACAATGCTCTAAACCCATGATGGCGAACCTATGACATGCATGTCAGCACTGTCATGCATAGCCATTTTTGATGACATGCGGCTGCATGCTGCTGTATAAAGAGAAGTATGGGGCCACATGCCAAGAAGGATGTTTCATCCTTGACTCCTGCACCATCATATGCAATAGCCAAGGATGAAACATTTGCTATAGCGTACTGTAGACACTCTGTGCCAGAGGTCTGTAGGCCAAAACAGCAGAACTCCGGCACAGAGCATCTAGTTCTGGGACTTTTGGTTAGGCTGTTAGGGGATCTTTGACCTTACATCCGGCTGGCGGAGCAGGGAGCAGTGGAATGCTGCGGGGATGCATCTCTGGGGGCTCTGTGATCACCATTACCAGCAACCACATAACCACACCAATCATCATTCAATCTACTGTTCTGGGGTGTCATGGATATCTAATTGACCATCATTACTGAGATAAGTGAGGGAGAGGCTGGGAGAGGCAAGGGCCTGTGCTATGGGTGCCATTTTCTGCCATTAGAAATAGCGGCAGCCATCTTAATTTAGATAAGGAACACCATCTTGCAATATAGTGCAGACTCCATTTCACTACTATTACTGTTGTACATCCTTATTAACCCCTATTTATGTTTATTAACCCTACCCTTTCCTAAAAGAGGTTTATAAATACAGTTATGTATTACAATTATACATTTTGTTACCTAAACTATAAATATCATAAAATTATGGGGTTTTTTTTCCTCGAAGTGACACCCCATCCAGGTTATGCTCATTTTTTTGACAAATTTTGATACACCAAACTCAAAAGGTTGCCCATCACTGCTAGACCAACTCAAAAAGAGTCTGGAAATACCTTGCAGCAACTTTGGGTTTGCAGAATTCCCCTTTTGGAATTAAAAATTTAAAAGATGGATGAAATGGTAGAAATATCTGGAAGGTTAAGAGTGAAAAGCAATGACATTTGGACCTGCCATAAAATTGCATGAATAAGGCGGGACCGTTGCATGATACAAGCTTCACCTGGAAAAGTTTCGGGCTATGACTATAAAGAAGCCTGTAGTGTGAATTAGCACACTGATTCTGAATTTAAGTCACAAGGATGAATAGAGATTATTTCTGGTTGCATCGCACTTCTTCAAGGCATATGTAGCACATCTGGATGACATGATCCTTCAAGTTTTGTACTGTAATGCTTTGAGAAACAGATAAGTTTTCCAGCAACGCCCATGTGCTACATAAGGACAATTCCTAAAAAAATTCCTTTAAAAATCCTACTGAAAAGAAGCCACATTCCAATCAATATCAGGGGGAGGATGAAAGAGATCTTGCATTTTAAACAAATGAGTAGAAGAAGCAACTTCAGCAGCTATAGCTCACCATGGGAGCTGCCTATGCTCAACTTTCCTCTTCTACACAACTGTTAAAAGTGGAAGACCGCTCCTTTTCTTTTCTTCCTGGTGATTGTACTACTAACCATTGCACTGAACTGACACTGTGAATTATTGAGGGAAAGTGCGTCAGTCTTATCAGTGTATGTGGGATCCATAACTTGATGAAAACTCATTAATGTTCTATAGTCGACTCAATACTTTAAGTTACATGCTGTTTTAATGACCAGTAAAAAGACCAAGAAAAGTTACGGTGTAGATCTATAGATAAACAGTGAACTATCCATACTTGCTATGGATATGCCTTTGTATTGGACAGGAACATCTTGCAATCATACACATGTCACAGATACCTCCAGGCGACTGTTTATACTTCCCACCTGTCAGATTCTGGAAAATGAATTTACATCATTGCAATAGCACTAAAAACATGTTTTCATGAAGAGGTTGGTCAAGAGTTTGTGTTAACCTGTTAATGTTTGTAATCACATTTTAGCAGAGGTAGCTGAGATGCCAGTTTTATTTTCCGCATTGTTATCCTCTTGGTTTTTTCCACTCATTTATTGCAAGTGCTCTTACATCCTGGCTACCCACGTCATTTTGCTTCTCAAAGACCTGTTAGTTCACAACACTGCATCCACCTATATATCTACACACATGTACAAATATATGTGCTTCCACACCCACAAATAGATCATTAATGATATATGGTTTCTGAAAATTAATGTGGGCTAATGCCCATATAAGTATTGATGAGCTATTATTGAGCTATATTAACAGATTGTTTGGCATGATTCGTTTTGAAAGTTTAGCAAATAGTACAGACAGAACTGAAGAGTTCTCACATGAGCCGATAAGACTTGAGGGCACAGGATGCTTTTCTGTTCTGAGATAGCAATCGAGAGACCTGCTTGGATCCTGGGGTGAGAAACTTGTTATTGCAGGGATCCAGGGGAGCATTTTTAGTCTTCCCTATTATATTATAGAACAAACACAATCTCACAGAAATGTTCATTTCATTTTTAAAAAACTTGTTAGCTTCTGGACTACACTTCAGTTTAAATATGGTTTTGGTCCTGAATATATACAACTGTCCACTTATTTGATATATGCTTATCAACTGCTTGCTGCAAAAAGGCAAATGAAAACTCTCTCATCTAAAGTTACTAAAACAACTATTTTGACTGTTCATATATTCTGGACAGAATTTATACAGTTTTTGGTATCAGTATGTCTGATATTGCAATCCTATAAATATCTGAGAGTAAGGCATATTGATCTAAATAAAGCTTATTTCTAGGTTGACATATATAGGATCACATTGTTAAGCTAAATATAAAATTGATTAATAAATAATATAATGATAAGTATTAGGGGTATAAAAGAGCACACCTGCTAAAATTTCTGCTTCTACATAAGGCACAAGGAGGGCAGGGATTCTGTCCATTTTTTTTGCATTTGGGCATCTAAAATTTATTTAATTTATTTACTGCATTTATATATTGCTTCTCTCACCCCTGGGGGGGACTCAAAGCAGTGTACATCAAGTAATGGCAAGATTCAATGCCAACATACTTACATACATTATAGAACATATTTAAAAGAACAGCGATTCCCAAACTTTGGTCTTCCAGGTGTTTAGGACTCCCAGATGAGTTAGCCAATGGTTGGTAATTCTTGAAGATGAAGCCAAAAGTATACAGAGAAAGTTTGGGAAGCACTGCAAGGGGAATATCGATTAGGATCTTGTTATTGCTGACTGTCCACTGTAATTTTTTATCTAACGCTCTCATATCATGCAATTGACTTTAATTAACACTACATTCCAATTAGCCTCACAATATTTATTTATTTATAATATTTAGAATCTCCAAGGAGCTCAAGATGGCTTCTCATCTCTCCATCAGGCCTCTAAAGTAGATTAGGTTGAAAAAATACAAACAAAAGTCACTCTGTAAGCTTTAATGAATGGAGGGATGGGAACTACTTTTAACTACTACATTGCAATGGGTGAATTGCAATGTAGTAGTTAAAAGATGAAAATCAAACTTTGGGGGACATAGTAAAATGGTATTCCTTTTGTAAAATGGAAAAATCAAGTTTGGTTTTAAAAAATGGTGGTGGTGGTGGGGATATTTTCAAGTCACAGATTGGTTGAACCTGTGGGTAAAGAATCCATGGCTACAGAGAGCCGACTATATTTTCTCATTATAAATGTATTTCTTCTGACTCCCAGAAGGTCTGTAGCAATCTTATATCCTTCTGAATCTCCTGCATTTTAAAACAATTTCTACACAACCCAGTGGCTTTCTAAAAATGAGTGTTATTTCCCCTTAAAAAGTGGCACAGTGAATATTTATGCTAACAACATTTTTATGCATTTGTGAAAACCCCAAATATGAAGAGAAATGATTTTAATATCATACTGGTGTTACAAATTGTTAATTTAAAGGATCAGGGATCAGGAAGAGCAGTGGGGAATAGATCCACCTAGCCAATCAAACCGAATAATAGGGTAGTTGCTGTAAACAACTCTAGCACTGGAAAATATAACCTAAAGTTATTTCAAAGGAAATCTATATAGTGTTGGGAATAATTTTCCTACCTTTTAAAGTTTTGTTGTTAGTGGTGTTTAAGTCAAATTTTGTATTAAAAATTATTTTTCAGAATTGACTAACATGATGGCATGAGCTCAAGAGGCTACAAACATAGTTGTCTCGTATTTTTGTTTTGCATAATGATTTTCAGAAACTATACCTATATATGTATGTGTATGTATAGATCTCATACGCAGGCATACATATATATTTATATATATACACACTCTTCTTATGTAGGTGAGTGAACAGAAGGCGGGACCCTGCGCTGCCAACCACAGTGGTGTCTCAACAAGGTGCAGGTGGCAGCTGTAGTCTCAAGAGTGGCACACAGGCAGACGAAAACACACAAAGAAGAAGAAGAAATGACCAAGACTTTGGCACAATGAGGAGGTGTCAGCTCTAAAGTGAGGTGGGAGTGATGGAGTAGAATATTTAAAGGTGTGGCAGAGAGGGGAGTGGGAAAGGAAGCTGAACCAGTCCTGGGGTGGGGAGGGAGTGGTTGGATGGACACCTCAGCAAGCTCACACGCAAAGCTACCTTGGAGCAATGAACACATGTCCCTCGGACTCAAAGCTGTTTGGCAGCAGGTATTCAAAATCTGCAACAGAAAGGTAACGTTATCCGGCGGGGGTCTGAAATGGGGGAAGGAGAAGACGGACTCAGTCTCAGAATGGGACAGAAGAAGAGAAAGTGAGAACGGCGTACAGGTGGGGAAACAAAGAGAGAGACAGAGAGACAGAAAGAGAGAGCATAGACTGGAATCCAACAAAAGAGGCAAAAGAACTGACTGAACTGAACAAGAGAGAAAGGAGAATATTCTTTGCATTGTACAAGAAAAGTTGTAGCCAATATGTTGCCAGCATTTGGAGAATTTGGATATTTTATTCTATTTTGTTTGAAATTAAATATAATTGATCAATTTTCTCTGTATCGCTTTGGAACTCAGTAGTTGCATATACACACATATATATCCTCATACTTATATTTATATATATATGTATGTTCAGAAGTTGTATGGGCATCTCTCTCTTATTACTGCAGTAACAAAGAAAAGAAATCACATGCTCTGCTCATACGGAAAGAGAATTACTAAAACAACATTTTCTAATAAAAATTATTTTTCAGGCATCAACATGGCCAAACCAGGGTCCTTTATGAAGACAGTCCAACCAAAGACTTACCCACTGGATAGAGGTAACATGCAATGCATTGTAGAGGGTGCAGCAGCTGCCTTCCGGCTGACAGTGGTCTCGAAGCACTGCAACAGCCATCCCTGCTTTGCCTGAATATGAAACAGACCCTTCCAGATTCCACAGGAGCAACCAGATGATAATCAAAACATGTATGGAGTAGGTCCTGTACTCTTCTATGGGCTGAAATAATTTTATTTCTATACCCATTCCTCAGTTTCTGAGATGTACATATTTGGCTGAATGACTCAGGCATGATTCAAATAATTGTCCAAAGGATGTCTGGTGAGGACGTGAGAGAGAAAGCCTTTCAGTGGCTGCTCCCAAATTGAGGAACTCCCTTTCTTGGGAGGCCCAGTTGATCCTCTCCTTGTTGTATTTCCACCCGCCTTTTTATTTGAGAAAGCATTTGATTTTCAGCATGTTGTGGCAGATGGAGCCATAGTGTAGTGCTTCTCTTTTATGTTTTAAATGTCTTTATAATGCTATTTTAACTTGTGGTTTTAGGATCCAAGTTAGTTTAATTGAATTTTAACGTTGGTGTTAAGAGTTGTTTTAATTGCATTGTGTGTTTTTAAATATTGTATGGTGCCTTGAATCCTATGCTGGAAGAAAGGTGGAGTGTTAAATAAATAAATATCTGAAATGCAAACATGGCACATATCACACTATGTACACTCAACATCATCATGTTCAGAAAGTCCTCACATGTATTGGTGAAGTTGAAGAAACCATCATTTCAGAAGCCTTCTAAGGCTTGCTCTAATGTTTTAGGAATCTATATCTATCTTCTTTCATTGCTCTTCTTTTTTTAAAAAAATGAGCTGGATAATTTTCAGTGAATTATCAGTATGGTTCAGATCACCTTTAAAACAAATGAATGGGTGAATTTGACTAGAGATATTTTGCTAGGTGTTACCATATTCTAAGGGAGTCAGTTGATATAAATCTAATTAGTCAAAACCAGAGACCCGGTGGTGCAGTGGGTTAAAACAGTGAGCTGCTGAACTTGCTGACCGAAAGGTCGGCAGTTCGAATTTGGGGAGCAGGATGAGCTCATGTTGTTAGCCCCAGCTTCTGCCAACTTAGCAGTTCGAAAACATGCAAATGTGAGATCAATAGTTACTGCTCCGGCGTGAAGGTAACGGTGCTCCATGCAGTCATGCCAGTCACATGACCTTGGAGGTGACTACGGACAACACCGGTTCTTCGGCTTAGAAATGGAGATGAATACCACCCCGCAGAGTCAGACATGGCTAGACTTAACGTCAAGAGGAAACTTTTGCCTTTACTTTAAGTCAGAATAGTTGGGAATGTTTGTGGCTCCTCACTTTTCAGAGTTCATGTAAGTATGAGCAATAGTAAATGGAAACACCAATCTATGCTTGCTCACAAGGCTTGCTAAATAGAGGGGAAGGTTATATTGGTTTGAAGTTGTTTTAAAAAACTGCATAGCTGTGCTTTACTGTGCAATTCTATGATAGACTATTCAGAAGCAGATAGGCTTGCAGCATTCATTTGGAAGCCATTCTCTGGCTCCTTTTAGAGCTAACATAGGAATTAATATAATGCCTTGCTTTTCCCCTGTCAAAAGAACCGTGCTAAAAGAAGCAAGAAACCTGGTGTCTGATCCTTGAGAGAAGGTACATCCTATAATTTAGAACTGGCATATCCCTCATAGATAAATGAACCTGTCACTATAATAACATTTGTATCTTGGTTTTGATTGAGTTTCATCTTCATCATTCATTCATGGAGGAACCTGCTGCAAGTGATGCTGAGGAAAAGACTTGGGTATCACCAACATAATGGAGCCCCCAGTGGCACAGTGGGTTAAACCCTTGTGCTGGCAGGACTGATGACGGATAGGTCAGCGGTTTGAATCCAGGGAGAGAGGGTTGAGCTCCCCCTGTCATCTCCTGCTCCCCATGCAGGGACATGAAAGAAGCCTCCCACAAGGAAGGTAAAACATCAAAAACATCTGGGCGTCCCCTGGGCAATGTCCTTGCAGACGGCCAACTCTCTCACATCAGAAGCAACTTGCAGTTTCTCAAGTCACTCCTGAAATGAAAAAACCAAAACCAAAAAACAGACATTATGATGACACAATGTAATGACCCCCACCTACAGTTTCATGTAGAACTTTAAAATGATAGGATACAACACTAGCATCCCACAGAATTTATGAGGACAGTTCCCACAAGGAACTTCCAGGCACCATTCTCTGAATGGTGAGAAACTGCAAAGCCTTTTTTTCATCTTTTAACTCATGTGGTACTCTTATGTCTGCAGCGTGACAGCAAACATATGACAGCATATACATTGTTATCAACAGCTGCTGAGACGTTTATTAAAATCAATCAAGTCAGTGTTCCCTGTCTTTTTCTTGGAATAGCTCAACTGTCAGAAAATCAAATCAGCTTCTGTCCTGAATCCAGCCTGAAACCAAATAAAACTGAGCCAGACATTTTGTTTCATCCAGAAATAATGATATCAAAATGATGTGCTACTGTTTGCTTGATTAGCTTTGCCAAGGGTTATGACTTTAGGGGGAAGAGGTTGCTTTGCTTGTTCAGAAAGTCACTAGCAAGGAAGAGAGGCATTTTACTCTTTAGTTGGAAAAAATCCCAGCAGTTATCATGATCCAGAATTTAAGGAACTAATTTCAGAAGGCAGTAATCAGCCACAGAGTTGCCAGGCCTTTCATGATTAAAAAAAGATAAAATTAGTAATCGTGAGTTGAAGATGCAACTGTACTTCCACAATATGGAAAGACTGAAACTATGGCTTTGGAACGATTGATCCTTGCAATGTAAACACTGTTTCAATGAAATATCCTTTCAATCCAAAGAGAGTTTAGACATTTCTCTTGACAAACCCGCCAAAACAGGCAGAGAAGAAACAAATAGCACAAAGAACAAAAAAGGTACTGATATTGGCAATGATGTATTTATTTATTTATTTCCGTTACTTTTACCCCGCCCTTCTCACCCCCGAGGGGGGGACTCAGGGCGGCTTACACCTATGCCATCAACTCCACTGGACTGGCCACATTGTCCGAATGCCCGTCACCATCTCCCAAAGCAGTTACTATACCCCCAACTCAAGAACAGGAAATGTAATATTGGTGGACAGGAAAAGAGATTTAAAGATGGGCTTAAAGCCAACCTTAAAAACTGTGGCATAGATACCGAGTAATGGGAAGCCCTGGCCCTTGAGTGCCCTAACTTGGAGGTCAGCTATGACCAGCAGTGTTGCAGAATTCAAAGAGGCATGAATGGAGGGCAAAAGAGAGAAATGTGCCAAGAGGAAGGCGCATCAAGCCAACCCTGACCGGGACCACCTTCTACTTGGGAACTGATGTCCTCACTGTGGGAGAACATGCGGATTGAGAATAGGGCTTCACAGCCATCTACGGACCCACCGCCAAACCGCTACACTTGGACGGCCATCATCCTTGGGCTACAAGGGATTGCCCAAGTCAGGGGTCCTCAAACTAAGGCCCGGGGGCAGAATATAGCCCTCCAAGGTCATTTACCCGGCCCTCGCTCAGGGTCAATCTAAGTCTGAAATGACTTGAAAGCACACAACAATCCTATCTCATCAGTCAAAAGCAGGCCCACACTTCCCATTGAAATAATAATACGCTTATATTTATTGAAATTGTTCTACATTTTAATTATTGTATTGTTTTAAAGTGTATTTTGCACTACAAATAAGATATGTGCAGTGTGCATAGGAATTCATTCATTTTTTTTCAAATTATAATCCGGCCCTCCAACAGTTTCAGGGACTATGACCTGGCCCTTGGTTTAAAAAGTTTGAGGACCCCTGGCCTAAGTAGACCTTCAAATACCAGTAGTTGTTTTTCTAGATTCATCATTATTTCAATCCCACTTGTGTCTAACTATTCTGCTGCCTCGACATCAGCTCCACAGTAAACAAGGGAATGTTAAAATCACTGGCAAGAAAGAAAGGCAATATAGGAACTATTGTTTCTACCTCCCAAGCTTGTTTGCTATTCCAGGATTCAAAGGGATAGCTGCAGGAGGCAGTCAAATATTCCCGAGGTGCTCTAGAAACACCTGAATCCTCGGCCATTTGGAGCTGGGCAACTATCCTAAGTGGTCCTTCACACCTGCTGAGGCTTATTGGATGCCACAATTTCAACAATAACAAGGTAGTGAGAAACCGTCTACAACAAACAGTTAATTGTCCATATTCATGGATATCTGTCAATCCAGCACAAAACACCAGATCCAATGCTAGGTTGCAATTTGGTATAAAATTGGGCCTTGGTATAAATGTTGAAATGCCCAGGATTGGAGGTTCTCCACACTGTGACTGGGCCCAGTCTGTCAGCTCTGTTACAGTAGCGCAGGCAGTCAAAGAGATCTTTTTCTGATCTCTTACTCAACATGGGTTGTATCTCAAATAGAGCTTAAACCTGGTAATGGAGATTAAACTCTAATGGACTACAGCAGTCCTTCATTCTGTGCAGAGTTAGAAAAGTTAATTTTGGACCAGAACTCCCAGAATCTCTTAGACACCATGGCCACTCTTTTGGAATGAAGGGCTAATTAGAGTGGAGAAGAAAAAAAAAGCCTGAATTTGCTTAACTCTTCTTGCACTAATCCTTCTCTGCAATGCCAAATCCACAAGCAGCAACCTCTGCCAGGCATATCTGAGCTCTAATCCTCAGATCCTTACAGCACAGCAGCCATTAGCAATAATTAACACTCTAAACTTGGCAGCAGGGCAGTGGCAGCTATGAAAAACACAACAAGTTAATTGCACATCAGAATTTACTCTAATGGCTTAACTGTTTTTTTCAAGGGCATATAACATTATGCCAAGTGAGGATCAAAACTGCACAATACCCATGGAGGTACAACACAGAAGTTCTCACCAGAGTAAAAGAAATCATTTATATTACTAAATGTTACAAAATTGTAACTCCCAACAGAAACAAAGATATTTACACAAGTGCCGACTGAATGAGTTCTATCTATTCAGTGGCTTTACTGTTGAGGAGATTACCAACTGGATTTAGCCGAAGTGGGAAATATACGCCCCTCCAGATGCTGTTGAACCACATCTCCCAATCACCCCTAGCTACCATAGTCTAAGGTGAAGAATGCTGGAAGCTGCAGTCAAGAAATATCTGTAGGCCCTTGTGACTACCCCTACCACTGATTTAGCACTAGGCTAGAATATCCCACTATTTTAACAAGGGATTGATTTTACCTGCGTACGTTACAACTATATGCTCAGGGTTCATCTCTCGGTCTAAACATTTAAGCAGTCATAATGTACAGGCTAGCTGATAGACTAGGCACGGGCAAACTTTAGCCCTCCAGGTGTTTTGGACTTCAACTCCCACAATTCCTAACAGTCTACTAGCTCTTAGGAATTGTGGAAGTCCAAAACACCTGGAGGGCCAAAGTTTTCCCATGTCCGTGCTAGACTATATTTGCTCAGCATTCCAAATGGAGACCCAAAGGCTGATCCTCTCTGGTCAAACTCTTCAGTGGAAGCCCTCTGGTAGCATTACCTTCAACAGAGATCTTTGCTTTCCAGAAATGTATTAGGCCACCCCGGACCCTTTCTGGTAAAACACAACAGTGAAATCAGGTGAATGTTCTCTGTAGCTGACCTACTGTTGGTTTTGTCCATAGGGCCACAGCAGAGGGGTGAGCGAGTCCCATGGTTGGCAATCTGGGGTGAGAAGTTGTTGAAGTGTCTCACTGGCTCTCTTGCTGCCAGTTTGGTGTTTTTCCAATAGGATTGTTTTCTGGAGTCCCATCAGAACAGAAGGGGCAAAATGCTAACCTGTAGCATTGTGACATCTTTGCTTCTTGTGAAATCAGAGGCATATAAAGATAGCACAATGTTTTTGATCATTGTTATTAAGAGGCACTGAAAGGTGCAAAGCTAATTGTGGACTTGTGGGCAGCCAGCTGGGGAGCAAGAAGCCATGTCATAGGTGTTCTCACCCAGGTATTGTTTGAATTGAGCTGCAAACATCTTTTACCATATTCACATGCTAATGTAATGTAGAGAGGTAGTGTGGGGGTCAGTTTTCTGTCTGTGTTACTAATGAAATTCCACTTCTAAATAAAATAAATCCCCACCACTTTGCAAATAGCACAGAAGTAAATAGGAATATTTAGAGGAGTAGTAGCAAAGTGTGGCCCTGCTGATGCTGGACTGCAACTCCAATCACCATTGGCTATGCTGCCTATGGATGATAGGCATTGCGGTCTCAAGTCTGGAGCAAAAAGATAAGAACTCTGTAGAACCACTTTAACCAGGTGATGAACCACCAGGCGCCTTAAATAGCTTTATAGGAATAGTATTCAGTTCTATTCACGGCACTGTAGGGATCTAATTTAACTGCTTATTTTTATGTCCTCTTCCTAGTGAATTGTATTACTATTTTAGCTCTTCATTCAGCACACTGAACATCTTTCAGATTTATGGTACATGACTCACCCTTGGTGTTTTAAAAAAAAAGAGAGAGAGTGTAGGAGAGAAATGGATAGCTGTTGCAGGCTTTCCTCTGAAGGAGGAAACTGACTTTTAATAACCATTCGAACAACCTCACCACAGTTCCATTTTTGTATTAGCTGCAAATTATGCCTTCAAGTATATCAATATAAGCAGACTGATTGTGAGACCACGAAAACTCCTCTCCTTCCCCACCAAGGTCTTCCACAATGCATTGCAAGACACATGTGGCCCTTTGTCAGGGCAGCACAGCCATAGGTTGGACTGCTGTTTTTGAACAGGACTGTAAGGCAGGGTCTGGATACAAGCCAATGAAAGGAGGAAGAGGAAAGGATACAAAAACACTAAGTAATTATTCCATCAGCATTGCCATTACAGGGTTACTGGGAGCAGGCAGCTCAAGGCTGATAGAACAGGGCTGAGGACATCAGACAGAAGCCTACTGCTTGAGATCAGGTTTCTGTTGGTAACTCTTTCATGCTGTAATGTGTAACCGATTGTACTGGCGGGAGTGTCTTCTTTTTCTCCATGTGTGTTTAGGGCAATTATAATGTCTTGTGCTTGCATAATGCTCCCAGGTGGTTAAGCTGTGAAATCTTTATAAACCAGGCGAAGTAATCAGTATGGAAAACAATGTCTGCTACAGTGATTCTTGGCTCGATGCATACATCCTACGGCAGGCAGGAATGGTAGGGAAGGAAAGAGAGCCATGTATTTCTTATGTGGAAATAGCTCTCCATTTCAGATACATTTGCCTTTATGTGGAACAGTTCACATTCTAATACAAAGCTTTCCTATATTGTCATATTCTGCCTCATAGCATTTGGTATTAATTGATCACATGGACATTGCTAAATATCAGTTTTAAATGGGTACTGACTATGGAGACCTTGGATCGCAGGAGTCACTGAGACCACAGTTGGTCCCCGTTTCTGCTTTTTTCAGAATAAAATTAGATTTTCAATAATAGTTTACATGTGTTTTGGATCGTTGTGCACTGTAGTGGTCTCATGGTTGAGCCATTGTACACTGTTGTAGTCTCTGCCTCCCAATGTCATTATTTCGCTTTTGCTACTGATGAGGAACCTTTGCAAACTCTTTTGCTTCCTTTTTCTGTTCATGTCAAAGCAAACTAATACTGAGGGTGCAAATTATTTAGTAACACATGACTCTAATAATATGGGTGTAAAAGTATAGCTACATTCTGATCAAGCTGCATTCTGGCTCAGTGTAAATTTAGGAGAACAATCTGCCCCAGGAAATTATATTGTGGAAAACCACAGAGATTCCGAAAGGTATTTGGCTCTTTGTATAGGTATTCATGCTCATAACGCACATAAGTGTGACCAGCACTTTCAAATTCTGCTTTATGTTTAGATTGGAGTGCAGTTCTCAGACTCACAAAGGAAGTAGGAGGAAACAAAAAATCTATGGAGATCCATTTTTATTCTCAGTACCAACTCTTTGACTCTCATTATTAATGGAGAATATAAAGCAGCTGTAGTACATCTGCTCCATGATTTTGCTAACTGGATTCTGAAGGCACTGGATTCTAATGGATTGTGGAGGGAAATATAGGACCAGATTTCAATAAATTTTCTTGTTGCTGTCTCCTCACCTCTGTTTAAGGAATCATTTGGCAGTTCAGGTACTTAGTGAATAAGAAACTATTGCTGAGATGACTATGGAGACCATAGTGGAGATTACGAGTCTTTGGGGAAATCTCTGACATGTAGACACTGTGGACTTTCTGAGATTTGTTTCTTTCTTCTGTTCAGGCAATCCACTCATGTCCTGAAGGCTATTTGCTTGTAGAAGTGATACTGGACTCTTATATCCAAACACTTCAGAGTCTGAAGGTCTCTGCACAGCCCTGTCCCATTCAGGTTGAGTTGTCTTCAAGAGGAAGGTAAGCATAGGATAAGGAGAGGGGAAGAAGACTTGTTGGGAAGGTGTGAGACAGGGAAGGAAAAAGGAAGATAGGTCAGGGGAGGTATTTTTGCAGGGAGGCCAAAGAGCAGGATATTAAACTAGCTACAAAAAACCTTAAATTGAATTCAAACATAACAATTCCATATGAAATTGGCTCGTCTTTAACGATACCGGATTGAGTCTCTGAGCAATGCACAGGGAAGGAGTGGGAGATCAGTAGTGGTGAAGCTATTATGAACGTAACAAGACATGTTGCTTTCAAATAAAGGGTGAAAGAGTTTGAGGAGAAGGAGTAAAGGAGGAGAGAAGGAGGGGAGGAACGGTTTGGTGGTGATTTGCAAGGTTAGGCGTGGCAAACGGGCAAGGTAATGGGCAAGCAGGCCGGGTGGGTGGTAAGGGGGAGCGGTGAAGGTTTGGAGTGAGGGGTCAGGGTATTGGACACGGGTGGGGAGAAGGGGGTGGTGGAAGGGTAGTGGTCTAAGACTGAAAATACTTGCCCTTCAATTTGCTTGGTACTGTGTGAATCCATCAGAGAGAGAAAGCAAGAAAAAACAAACAAAAAACAGAAAACAAAAAAAGGGGGGTTGGGTGGAAAGGGGAAGGGGGTACAAACAATATTTTATTCAATTGCTGTTTGAATAAAAATATTGTGTATCATAATCATACCAAAAGGAAACCTCTTGCAAAGAACGACATGAAAAAGAAACAAAATAAAAAGAATAATAATAAAAGTACCAATAAAAAGGCCACAGTAACAGAACAATAAAAATGTATAGATATAACTAGATATATAGATATATATATTATATAACCAACATAAAAAATGAAATCCAGTAGCAAACAGTTTGCAACAGTCTTGATATAGAAATGTTCTTACTGAGTTAGCAGACCATGCAAAATTCAAGAGTAACAAAGGACACACATTGAGATAGAGACAGAAGGAAAGGAAACAAAGGTATAGAAGAAAGGGTGAGGATGTAATGGGCCCACGTTTACAATACATGAAGTGTGCAAGGTGTAGTCTTTGTCTTTACTGAGAAGAGCTAAGGTGCTAAGCTAGAAGCAATCTAAGGAGAAGACGGAGCTTGATTGTTTTTTGGCTTTAGTTTTGACATTTTTTGACAAATAAAACCAAAGTGATCGAGTCAGGCCTCGTCCTTCTTATTTTGCAAGGGGAAAGAGATGCTTTATGAAGGTTTTAAAAACAAAACAAAACTGTGAGTGACTCCCAGATGAGGAAAAACAGGCTTTCTTCACAACAATTCTGGAATGTCCATCAGTGACAGGCATGTGGAGCAGGAACATGGTCCACTGAGCAGATTAAATGGAAACCAACATTAAGGGAAAAGGGGCTAAAACTCAGTGCCAGAAAACATGATTCCATGAAAAGTGTATCAGGCTCAGGCCTTGACATCTGAAACTTTGGGAAGTCACAGCCTGTTTGTAAGGAGCAGTTTTCTCTGGTCTCAGATGCAGGGGGTCAGTGAACACCAAATCTAGGTTGCCACAGGTTAACTCAGATCATGGTTGCTTGGTCTGTTTTGAAAGTATGATGCTGAACAATGATGAATAATAAAACAAGTTACTTTAAAAAAAGTAAATGTCCATGTTCTGAGAACAAGTGGGAAGATTTACATAGATATGAATGTATATGTAGAAATCAGAGTTTTCAGAACATCCATCTTTCTTGAGTGCTAACTTCTCATGTATATGGAAGATGTGATAGTATATTCAAAATGTATTTTTGAGGATGGTACCATATGACTCTGGAAAATGTTTGCCTTAGATGGAACCAACCCTTTGAGTTGCACATATACCAGGGGCCAAAATGCTTTTAGTTTTGTTATGTTCTTCACTAAAGAATGAGTGTCTGACTTAGTAGTATATAGGACAGCGGTTTTCAACCTGTGGGTCCCCAGGTGTTTTGCCTACAACTCCCAGAAATCCCAGCCAGTTTACCAGCTGTTAGGATTTCTGTGAGTTGAAGGCCAAAACATCTGGGGACCCACAGGTTGAGAACCAGTGATATAGGATTCTTCCCCTTCCCCCTACAAAATGTGTCATGTTGTAGTCCTGTGCATTTTTACTCACAAGTAAGTCTATTGAAGAGGACCTGCTCTGTGATGAAAGTTTGAGTAGCTACAAGTAATATAGTGTAAGTATGAAGTAGAGGGCTCACACAAGGAAAGGGAAAAGGGAAAGAGAGAGAGAGAGAGAGATAAGAAAGAGGACATATCACAGAGACAGAGGGATAAACACAGGAAGAAAAAGAGAGGACCACTCAGAGCAGGGTGTTAGAGATTCCCAGGGAAGTCCCTCACACCCTGTGATGAGGGAGCAGAGCCCAGGACCACACACAAGGGGAGGCTAACAAACAAGTACACAGAGATCAACTGTAAATTAGTTAGGAAAAAGCAAAAGAAACAAACTCAAAATGTAAATAAAGATAATAATGGTTTAAAAGAAATAGAAAGAAACCAAAAGAAAACAGAAAGAAACATGCGAACTTCCCCAGCTTTCAAATCAACTGGCTGCTACAGAGTTATCATCTAGTACATAAAAAGCATATAAAGCAGCAACTCAACCTTATCTCCCCTGGATGTCTTAAAAGGTTTTGTGCAAAGTTATCTCGGGAAAATCTGCATATCCCTGGAATGCTTGAATTATTCTTCCAGGAATGAAATGAAACCTCTTTTCATCAATGTGTTGGGGTTCTTGTTATTTTTTTAAAAAAATGTTTTTTTAAAAAAGAACTAGCTTTTAATATCACAAGGTTGGTGTTTTGTTTTCTCCTGTTAGTTATCCTTAGGCTACCTGGCGGGTTCGGGGTCAAGGGGCATGTGAAAGGTCAATAAGAAAATGAAGCTCTACTTACACTTCACCTGAAGAATCTGGTCACTAAGGTTAGCCCGGATGTAATAGGTGCTGTAACGTGGCAAGACTAAACCTAGGCTGATAAAGGGAGGGACAAAGAAACATCATCATCATCATCATTGCTCGCTTAAATGAAAGTCAAAGTTGCAAAGTGTTTCAAAAATAGCTGTCACAATGTTTAGAACTATCTGTTTAGATGATGCCAGATATCCTTTTCAGGTCCAGTGCTCTCCAGATGTTCTGAATCACAACCCTCATCATGCACAGGGAAATTGCCATTTGGCTGTGATGTCTGGGGATACTAAGGGACATACTTGCATCAACTTGCAGAAATGTATTGTCGAAGGCTTTCATGGCTGGAATCAATGGGTTGTTGTAGGTTTTTCAGGCTATATGGCCATGTTCTAGAAGCATTTTCTCCTGACATTTCACCTGCATCTATGGCAAGCATCCTCTGAGGATGCTTGCCGTAGATGCAGGTGAAACATCAGGAGAGAATGCTTCTAGAACATGGCCATATAGCCCAAAAAACCCTACAACAACCCAATTTGATGAAATCTAGTTTGAAGTTCAGGCAAAACAATCATAGTTGCATTTGCCATCAAATGTGTATTTGAGAAAATCCTACAATGACCACAGCAATGGAACATCTCAAAAGATACTAACCTGTTGGACAAAGCAGTTGTTTATTTAATTTAATATACATAGAAATGGCTAAGAACACCATAAACCCAACTGCTATTATTGCTTCTGGTTACTTCTGTGGAAAGTGAATGCCTCTGGAAAAATTGCCACGTTTGAGATGGGAAGCATTTGGCAGCCATCTAACAGAAGGAAAGCACATACTTCTCCAGTTAGGTAACTGCAGTTTATTTCCTTTCCCAGCATGGGCTATAGTAGGGCAGTGGTTCCACTTTCTTTGCATAGGCAGAAAGATTGATATGGGCATAGACCCTGGCAAGAGTCTCATGAACCAGGAGAACTGAAGAGTAGAAAAAAGTTAAACACAGATTGGATAAAGTGCTTTCAGGTATAAATATCTATCTGGAGAATCATGACTGGCCTCTTTAGCCATTCCCATGTGCCCAATTCAACCTTGGAACCACAAACGTTTTGTGTGTCATGAAAAGTAACTCATGAAGATACACCACAAGTGTACATTTCTTCTTCTAGGTCCTCGTTCTCTAGGGAAATATGACTTGGACATCAATTTGGACAAAGTATTCTCCTTACCATGCATCAGGCAGTTATTGGACTATATAGCATCAAACTGGTTGCTCTAGGAAATCCCTGGGGAATACATATATTTGCAATAAACAACTATGCACTAGATGGCGACCTCACCCAAAGCTTGCGCAGTAACTACACAGCTGCCCGGCACCATTAGTAGGCTAGCTACCTAATTTGCATTCGTGTTTGAATTCACAGAAATAAAAGTCTTAAAACATATAGTTCTCACTTGAGAACAATATTGAAATTCAGAGATATTACATTTGCATCCTGCATTTCTATATATCTTAAGGCAAGGCTGTGTACGCAATACAGACTGTAGAGTGGCATCCTTCAAAGACAATGATGCTAAGCATCTATTATAGGTCATCATTCTGCAGGTCAAGATAATGATCTCTTGCCTCATTTTGCAGCCAATTTTCTCCGGACTACTGTTCACTCACTATGACTCAATAACTGTCTTTGCCATATTGTTTGATGCCCCATTGGTTTTTGTATTAGTCCAGATAATAGTGTGTTGTCTCTCACCTAGGGCTAGAGTTTCTTATCAAGGGAATAGTCTAGAAAGCACTCTAACAATGATTTGCTACTGAATATCATATATTGGTGCAGAATATATAATGTGCATGTTTATAAATGGGAGCATGGTGCTTCCCCCACAAATCCCACAATAATGTTGACTAATATTCAATACCATCTCCAAAATGGGAAGTACATTTTATCATAAATCTTACAAGTATTCTAAAAATTAAGATCCAATGGTATGATCATAAAAACAAGCTGTTAATTTAAATAGACAAATGTATTCTATTTCTCTTGAGTGAATAGAAATGCTAGAAAATAGGGCAGTGGTGTGTCCCAAAGGCTAAGACACACAGAAGCAAATTAAATCTCTCTCTGCCAATTGTTATTTCACAGACCTTATCATGTTTAGTCATGGGTAAGATGGTTAGAGAAAATTAGGATTTTTGTCCATGACAGATGAGGAACAATGAGTATAAGAATTAAGTTACAAACTATCAAGTGCTATCCATGCAGAACCTCAGCTTCGTGATGGTGCTTGCTTAGAGCATCCACCTGCATTTTGAAAGCAATGAGGAGGGGCTTGCTAGGCCTGTTGGGCAATTGGTATTTGATGCATAGATAATGAAAACCAAGTACCTTCCAGCTTCAGACACTGGTGGAATGGGACCACGGGCTATTTATACCAGGGGAAGGTGGGCGTGGCCAGGGGTCTAACTGTCAGTTTTTTGCTTTCAGAAGGTTCCGAGTGGTGCTGCGCAGGCGCAGAGAGATACCAAATGTACGCATTCACAGGTGACTACTCAGGAAACTACAGTTACAGGTAAGCAACTTATAAATTATCTGCCTCCCCAAAGAGCTATTCCTCTCCACACAAGTCATTGTAAGCAGCTGTCAGCTTCCCTGACAATGAGTCAATAAAGAACTAGAAATATTAGCCTCCTAGCCAGATGCTTCCCCCTGGTAAGCATTCCACTCCTCCAGGAAAGAGTGAAACCTGTAAAAACTATCTTGTCCTAGAGGAATAAAATGCTTCAGCTCCATTCTAGATTTTTTGGAAATTTCTTGCATTGGGCTTTCCATGGTATCTTCTTCTCCAGGCTGGGCCAGACTGCCATAACTAGTCCAGGACAAATCACTTTATAATACATATTGTGTATGTACTACAGAAATGTTGGGTGGATTATGCTCCTGTCATGCCTTAACCAACTGCAGATTTCTCTGGTTTCAATGCCCAAACAATTCTTAGACATCCCCATTGGTTTCTAAATTCTAACGATTTTTTGGAGGAGGTTCAGCTGAATAGGTCGGTTGTTGTTGTTTATTCATTCAGTTGCCTCCAACTCTTCGTGACTTCATGGACCAGCCCATACCACAGCTCCCTGTTGGCCGTGGCCGCCCCCAGCTCCTTCAGAGTCAAGCTATGAAGGATACCATCCAGGTCAGCAGAAGATATCAATCCATGCTTACCTATAGTTTGTGCTCTTGATAGGTGCCCAGGTATACATCCTGTGGACTTTATCTAGATATCTCTGGAAGTTCAAAAGTGTAGAGAAAAGAGTAAGGATATATTTGTGTGTCCTGGGGCAACCAGGCTTGGACTTCCAAATAAACCATACCAGCACCCATTTTCACAGAATAAAGTAAGCCACAATTTTATAGCTTAAAGCTAATAATCAGGGTTGGCCCATACATAGGTCCAAGATTCTGGCACTGACCAACCTCTCTGTTGATTGATGAGACATTCTTCCAGCCTGCTGAAGCCTTCAAGATGACAGGAAGGACCGCACCACTTGTCCTCTTGCCACCAGGAGGTGTATTTGGGTCTGTTCCCCTGAGCTGGACTGGACCTTGTTCTGCTTGCACCTACTGAGTTCCCTGCCATGGGAGACCCCTTCCCTTCTCATTGGTAACCACCCAGGATCCCAGACCTATGCCAGGTGTCCCAACCCAAGTTGTGACAAAACAATGTTCACACTACAACATACATTGCTGAACAACATATGCATATTGAATAATGTACACAATGTATCTGCATAAAGCTAACAAATGGACATTTCATAACAGAGGGTGGGATGCTGCTGAGGAGCCAGCTGCTGGAAGGTGCCTGGGAGACCTGATATATATAAGTTGGAACCCATTGGCTTGTCCCTCAGCCCCAATTGAACTCCTGAGAGCCTGCAGAAATGCTTAGTGCCACTGCCACCCACCTGCCAGCCTTGCCACACCCCATCCTGCAAGATCCTTGTTGTTAATTATGCTTATTTTGGATACACTCTGGAGAGTAAAACTCTTGCCAATTTATACGGCAAAACTGTTAAAAATTAAATTATTACACCCAATTTCAATTAAAGAAATGGTAGCATGCATTCACTGTAACATTGCTGGATGATGCCCTCACTTGATGATTCAGTGCTCATGTTGAAAAGCATGGGAGACATGATGGAACTCTGTGGGAACTTTTGCAACAGCTTTCTATGTCTTGAACATATCAGCAGTATCACACTGAATGTTGGCAGTTCAGGCCTCTTGTGAAATTCTCAATATTCTCAATATATACATTATCGAGTTAGTTTTCTTTGGTTAATGTACTAACTGCCATCGTAATAGCTACAATCTAGACTTTAATCTGGCAACAGACCTTCCCCAGAAATATCGTTCTTCTCTTATCCTTTTAACTTTTTTCCAAAGTCACAAAAGGATTTTTTACCTCATCTTGAGACTTGATTAAAGTCCAGATGTTTCGAGTCCCTTTCTCTCCATCGATCATTCTTCTTCGGATCTGGAAAGAAAGGAAGAAAGAATTACTAAAACTAGCATATGTTAACTCTTTTCATTCCTTTGGCCAATAAAAATAGAAACTCTGCCATCTAATCCAAGTGGATTCTGAAGCCTAACTATAGGAATGATGCCCTTGAACCCTCTAGACCCAATCAAGCTCCTTATTGTTCTGTTTCTTCAGATACTGACATAAAGACCACCACATGCCATTAGGAAGAGTACAGATCCTGCCTAAAAGTTCAGTGGAGAATCCATTGGGGTTGCATTTGTGGCATAATTACTTTCTTCCAGCAAAATGCTTTCACTTTTTTATTCACACTTTCATATCACATTTCAGTGAATGGAAACGTGAAAATCCCTGTTTGATGATGGGCAACAACAGACATGTAAACAAAAATCACACATGAGGGTGTATTATAAAGTAAATATAATTCGTAACATTAGCACACAATTAATCATGTAAATGCCTGGACAACTAGTCTTCTAACAGTATCACCAGATGTCTTCACGACACATCTGGGGCACATCTGTAGTGAGCCATGGTAAACTTATTGCAATTAGCAAAATGTTATAGTGCCATTAGCACCTTTATATTTGATGTATGATTTTGTTTTTAACGATATGCTATGAATAATCATAGAATTGGAAAAGACCACAAGGGCCATCCAGTTCTGCCATGCAAGAACACACAATCAAAGAACCTGCAACCGATGACCATTCAGCCTCTGCTTGAAAGCCACCAGCAAAGGAGAGCCCTCCACACCCAGAGGCACTGTTAGACACCTTTTACCATCAGAAAGTTCTTCCTATTGTTTAGGTGGAATACTTCTTCCTGTAATTTGAATCCAGTCTGTGCACTAATCTCCAGAGCAGCAGAAAGCAAACTTGCACCCTTCTCAATATAGCATCTTTTCAAATACATTTAAACATTGTTATGTCCTTTCTCTGCCTTCTCTTCTGCAAGCTAAACATACCTGACTCTCTTAAGTTGGGATTGGCTTTCAAACCTTTGAGCATTTTTGTCACCCTTCTCTGGATTTGTTCCAGTCTGTCAATAGTCCAATGATGTACGAGTCCTGATGTATGCTCCTCAACCAAACATTCTATCAGGCTATTACTGATGCTGGTTTAATTTTGATGCCAAGTTAAAACCTAGTTTCAAGAGCCTACTGATCATCTATAAGTTCTGTTTAACCTTTTCAGATTGTATATAGAATTGTGGATCGCTGTCATTCTATGGTTATCTGCTGTATTGTTTGTACTGATTGTATCATGCCCTGATTCATTATTGGAAATATTTAATAAAAACAACAAATCAATATCTGAAGAAATAAAAATAAAATTTCAGTGAATCTCATTTTCTTACATCTTCCTTGTTATCATCTTCTAGTTCAGCGTCAAGGAAATCCAGAGTGACAGGTTCTTGAAAATTGATGATCTGGAAAAAAAAGAGATGTTAAACTAGCTGGAAATCTTGCTGTTTAACACACTAGGCATGTCACAATTATCCTAATTCTAGATTAGAAATTGAAAAAATATGTTCAAAATATTTTTTAATGAAAAACTGTGTTTCTTGAGTACTATGAAATGTTGATGAGATAAATCCTGGAGTGACAAGATTCTTCATTGTTTTGCGATTTACACTGCAGAAAATGTGCACATAGTTGTGTGTGTGTGTAGAAACAGTATTATCTGCACATTTTGTGCACATAAAATATTTTGGTGCCAAAAATGCCAAATGAGTATTCCAGTATAGAATTCTTAGTACAAAAACCATAAAATACTGTTTTGTGTACATAACATTTTATATTTATATTTATTTATAACCCACTTTATCTCTCCCGACCATTTCTCTTGACATTCCACTGTTCTTCACACATATTCAGCAAATGTTGAAAGACTTAAAAAACCCCCACAACCTACATTCTTTATTGAAACATATTTTCGCTCTAACATTTGAGAATTTCTATTGAAGGAAAATGAACACACACACACATCCCAACTTGCTGGTGTAGATTTAGTTTGTCCCTGTGGCAAATTTCTAACTTTGCTGTAAAGTATGCTCCCACCTAACAGTGTCATAATCAGTTAGGAATATGTCTTCTTTTCTTCCAAGTGAAGAGAAGTTAAAAAACAAATTCTGTCTCACATATTCCATGGTTTACATGCTGATGAGGGAAAAGCAGGCACACTTTCCCTTCTCTATATTGGGGGATCTACATATCTTTGATAGAGCCTGACAGAAAGCTGCAGTCCTAGATCCATTACAAAAATACTTCTGCTCTTCTAAGTCTTCCGATTTCTAACATTAAAGTAACTTAAAATATTAGTTAAGCTCTTAAATATAGAGTATGGCCAGCCAAAGAAAAAATACTGGGAAATGTGCAGCAAACATAAGAGTTCTAGAAATTATTGTATATACTTGAGTATAAGCCTAGTTTTTATCCCCCTTTTTAGGCTGAAAAGGTTCCCTTCAGCTTATACTCAAGTCAAGGTTATGTATTATTTTACTCTGTTATTATTATGACTATTTTATTATATTTATTATTTTACACTATTATTATAATTATTACATTTATCATTTTACTCTATTATTATAGTAGTTATTACTTTACTTTATTATTTTTACATTTATTATTTTACTCTATTAGTACTGTTATTATTACATTTCCATTATTTTACTCTATTATTGTTATTATTATTACATTTATTATTTTATTTTATTATTATTGGAAAGATACATAAGCACATATAAATTGAAGAAGTTTAGAATAATGGTTTCATGGGGGGAGGTTTAATTCCTATTGGGGAGCCAATGCCTTCATCCCCCCCCCTCTCTCCCAATAGCTATACTCCTGATTGTGGGGAAGATATAGACAGAGTCCTCTGTATTCTTAAATTGGAATTAAGGAAATAAAAGCACAGAACCTCAGTTTGCTATAATAAACATATAACTCTAAGGAAAGTTGAGTTGAAGTCTACGTCAACTTGTTCATCATTTATTGGATTGTTCTAATCATTGCTGACAAGATAGCACTTGGGGTAGAGTTTGACAGGTCAAGATGTCAAATAACGTTTTGTTCAGAACCTATGCTGGAGATGCTTGAACGGATTTTTGCATGTCAAATATTCTGTAGCTACAAATACGAGATAATAATTCCATAGTGATTTTTCCCTAGGAAGAATATCTACAATAGAAAATAGATCAATTCTGTTAAGTCTGGATAGAATTTGGTCATGCTGCTTGATAGAATTCTACCAATCATTTCTGAATCTCTGCCTCATTCTTCTATTATAATGCTCCGAGGGACCAGAAACTGGAAATCAATTCTACCCCTCCTCTCCTCCTCAGTACTCCATCAACACATCCATCACAGACTGCCAAAGGCAGTAGTTTGTTGATGTTTTTCAGAAACAAGGCAAAACTATTCACAGAGAGAACCCCAAGTATCTAGAAATGCATAATCTATGTACCAAGAGAGCCCTCTATCAAGAGTTGTCTATGTCAAAACAAAAAAAACAGTGCCTCATCATGAAGGGAGTGTCTTCCTCAGAAGCTGGTCAAATTGTCAAAACACACAGAAGAAAAAGGTCTGGGTGATGGTAGTGGGGCTACACTGTGGACCCATTGGATATTGATTGGAGTGGGACTTTGGTGACTTAACAAATCGTTGTGACTTCCATTCATCTCTGCCACATCATCCATCTATTAATAATGCCGATGAACTGAGTTGGAGGGTTCTGCCAATGAAACATACCGCACTCTGATTGTTGCTATTTCTCAAAACCTTAATTCTTTCTTGGCTGGCCTTCTAATGATAGATTTATCTGACTTGTATCCAAGCTGGAAGGCTTTTTTGACTTGTCCCGCCCTGATGGATACAGAGTGTCCCCTGAAATAAATTAGCTGGGCGTTCCTCATTCACATCTTTCCCTTTTTTTCAATATCCCAAGGAGCTAATCTTTCATAAAAGGGGTTTGGCTAATTTTTGTCTACACCTGTCAGAGTGGAGGGGAAGTTCATATATCATGTTCCCAAGAGGTGCCAATTAGTGCTTTGCAGCTGACAAGAACATCATTTCCTGCTTTGCATTAAGTATAGCAAACGAGCCGCAAGTTTAGAGCAGTGAATAATTAGCTCAAAACTAAATTAATTCAGTCCCTGAATGTCTAGAATCAACTCTGCTCAGTCTCATATCAGTCAGATTAGAACAACCACACTGTGTAAATATAAACACAGAGAAGGAACAACAGAGACCGTGGTTATCAAATTAGATAGTTACATATCTATGCACACTTACACATCACCACATGCAATAAGCTGAAATTAGGAGATCTGCAGACCAGACACTCTCGATTCCAGTGTCACTTGGACACTGCAGCTAATTATAATGCCACAAAAGAATAATCCCAGCACCATTGGAAAAGCTCCACTTTGAGCGGGGTGGTGGTTCTTGTCAGTTATTCTGCACATAGGTGTGGTCTGATCATGTCCCTCAGCAACAATCTACTAAGCCTGAGTGGGAAAGCTATACCTGGAAACTGTGGCATACAGTGGGGGGATGCAGTCATTTAGATGCTGTTAGACTGTATTGTTGCATGCCTTCAAGTTGTTTCCAACTTAACAGCAATCCTAAGGTGAATCTGTGGGGCTTTCTTGACCTGATTTCTCCAGAGGGTGGTTGCCTTTGTCTTCCTTTGTCAGAGTATGACTTTCATTAGGTTACCCAGTAGATTCCCATGGCTGAGCAGGGATTTGAACTCTTACCATGCTGGTTCTGATACCATTGAACTGTATTTTCCAGGATTCCACACTCCTTGTCCATGTTAGCTCAGGTGAATGGGAGTTGCAATTCAACAATGTTTTCAAGATTACCATGTTGGTTCTAGGGCCAGAGTGAGTGACGTATGAAGATTGAACATCACATGCAACGAATATCATCTTTTGCTATATATGAGTACTTGGAATATACTACTTATTCATTGCTGAATGGTGAGTCAACATATGTGTGAATGCCCCTGATTCAATGGGCCTACTCTAGTTTACATACTAGAATTTAGTGATAGACATTGGATGATTTGTTGATATTTTCACCTACTTGACTGATGTAATAGATTTGGCCAAGCATGACAAAAGGTTTTAAAAACGAAAACAGGTGATCGGATGGCTCTTTTTAAAAAAGTTTTTTTTAAAAAAAAGAGCAATGTGCACAGTGTTTTTCTCATTTGGGAGGCTTCCAGAGAGAGCAATGTTTCTTGTTTTCCTGGCTAGAGAAAAGGCAATCCACATGGAGTAAAAACAGGTTTGAGGGCTGCATGAAGCCTCAAGATGGCACTTTGCCTACTCTTGGTTTAGAGAAAGGATTTGCATGTCTGCGTAAGGTAAAGAACATGATGGAAGATTCATTGATTTTAGAGGGTGCCTATTAACACTGGTTTTAATCCAGACCTATGCTATGCTGAGCTATATATCCTTTCCTTGGCTTATTGTTTCCACATGGCCATTCTGTGCTTCATAGCAAGAAGGCAGGTTCACACAAATGTCCGGCTACCTCATATTAGTCAGATGCAGCATGATTACAGAAGTGCAGAGATTTCTGGAGGACCATGGTGGATCTCAACACTGATGTCATCATTATGCACCTGGCTATTGTTGGTTGCTGGTTTCTTACCATGAAGCACAGCAAGGCTATGTGGAGTGGCTTCAAGAGTTACAGTACATGAAAAGGGCTGAAGAAGGAGCAAAGGAATATTAACCCCCATAGGTTCCCTCACCCAAGGATAGCCACACATTTAAGGAACAGTTAGGCTTGCATATGTCTCTAAGATAATTATGACCTCTGTGTGCTCAGTGAGATGCAAATGTGCATAATCTGTTGTTAATGTTGGTGGGTGCGACATGATATTCAGAGAGGGAAAAACTATGCTCTTACCTGAGGTCGTAGGTTTGGATGCAGCAATACATATCCATTCAGATCAATAGCATATATATAACCGTTAGCCCCTAACTGGATTAGAAGACAAAAAGACAAGTTCTTTTTAAACTCTAAAAAGGAACAAATTACAGCTCAAAAAGAAAAAGAAAAATGTACTATATCAGAACTCCCAACCCACAGCCACAGATCTCTACAAACTTATTCCTCCAGTGCGGACTCAAGCACAGAGCAAGACTGTAGTACTGGGAGTAAGCATCATTGAATTCAGTGGGGCTTACTTCGTGATGGATATGTATAGGATTGAACTGGAAATGTCTATAACATATTCCAAGTTAAAGAAGATAATGTCCAATTCAGTTTCTGCTAGCCTTCAACAGGAGACAGAATGATTCTAGGTCATCATCAATAAAAAGTAATTTGGAGCATTCTTTGCAAATGTAAGCTTGAAACTATTTCTCAAAGATTCCCTCCCTGTCTCCTCCTCCCCCTCCTCCTCCTCCTCCTCCCCCCTCCTCCTCCCCCCTCCTCCTCACCCACCTCCTCCCCCTCCTCCTCCCCCCTCCTCCCCCTCCTCCTCCCCCCTCCTCCCCCCCCCCCCTCCCCCCCCCCCTCCTCCTCCTCCTCCTTTATTGCAGCTGAATCTTCGGGGAGGCTGAAGGGTGTAATGCAGTGTGTTCATAAACTCTGATCTTCTTGGCGTTTTGGATTTCAAAACTGAAATCGAAACTGAAATCCTGATCCCTTGGTCGCTGATCCCTGATCAGCGACCAAGGCAGTTGAGGCTTCTTGGAATTGAAGTCCAAAACACATAGAAGGGCAGAGTTTGGGAATCACTATATAAGGGAAAGATATATAATCTCTACGCACATTGTATCTTGGTGTCAGTTTCTTGATGTCATTAAGAGCCACATCGATTCCCACAACACCCAAGAGGAGCTGATTCTGGAAACACATAAACAACAAAAGAAGTTATGTTTTTAGTTTGAAATCCTGCTAAGTTGCCATAACTCACTCATTGTAACCTTTGCTTATCTCTCCTATCTTTAGTCTGAAGAGAAGGGCAGAACTTGTCATGGCCTAGCTATGGAGCAAAACATCTAACACTGATGGAAGAAAATAAATTAAGTAGCCTTCCACATAGTAACCACCTCAAATTGGCCAATCTACACACTTTTCTACATTCAGTGGCTTGGAAATGGCATTTTAAAAACTTTTGGTCAGAGCTTCAGAACAGGCAGCACAGGTAAAAAAAGAGTTAAATCCATTGTCCATTACTTGCTCTCTGCTTTGGCTCTTTGTAGTAGCACTACAGGATATGTCATTTTCTATCCATTTTTTGCTGCCGAACTCAGCCGTTTCTCTATAGTGTGATTAAGATCACTTGTGAAATGAGAACAGTGGGGGATTCGGTCCGGCTATACAAGGAGTGAGGGGGAAAAACCCTATCAGAAAGGTTGATTTGGGAGATGTCTGCTGCTGATTGTTACCTTTCACCTGCAACTATGCATTTTTTGTATAAATCTTTTGCATTTTCATTATTTCAAATGCTCTGAGATTAGATCCAATCTCAAATTGAAACTTGCATTGTGTTGGCGATGTCTACCGCTGTTTTCCACAAGATGGAGGAGATTAACTTCCTGAACAGAAGGAGACTAGAGTCTGCTTTCACATGTGCCAGAATGTTTTCTTTTGCCAGAGAAACTTTAACATGGCATCCATTATTTGCCCCCACTATCTTCTTCATTGTGAAAGAAGTCAGCATATCCCATCCACATTAGTGGTTACTGAAACTATCCTTCAAATATTTAGGAATGAGGAGCTATTGAAGATCCACATCTTTGAATTTGCAGTGGAACCAGCAATTTCATCTACTGGCATCTGACATAATATGTCTTCTCTAGTAATTTTGTAGTTTCTCCTCGAGATTCTGTGGAATGCTTCCTCCAGAATATACCATAGTGTCACCCAGGAGGACCTAGAGAAGTCCCACCTCTATGGTAATGTCTAGCAGAGGTCTTTCATTTCAATAGGCTCTGCTACTATCCATGGTTTTCTGAGAAACAGATAATATAATCTGTCTAGATAAACAGAGGTACTGTCTTCCTTTACTTTTCACTTTTAAGCTGCAGACAATCTCTCCTAACAGAAATACTAAACATCACCAATGGATTTACATCTCTCTCACACTCTCTACACACAGTGGCTCTCAACCTGTGGGTCCCCAGGTGTTTAGGCCCACAAATCCCAGCCAGTTTACTAGCTGTTAGGATTTCTGAGAGTTGAAGGCCTAAACATCTGGGGACCCACAGCTTGAGAACCGCTGCTCTACAGCGAAAGACAGAAGGTGCATATAGAATTAATGCAATTTGACAACACTTGAACTGCCATGGCTCAAATGCTATGGAATCACAGAAGCTGTGGTTTTACAAGGTCTTTAGCCTCCTCTGTCAAACAGTGTGGGTGTTTCACAAAATTGCAGTTAAGTGGTGTCAAACTGCATTAATTTTATAGCGTAGACGAACCTAGAGCCAAACTGGGAAATAATGAGTCCAGCTGAAAGTTTGAATTTGAAAGGCAAGGAAAGACAGGTACTTGACAAAATATTGCATTACTTAATCTATTTGGGATTGAAATCACAAGAGACTCCTCCTGTATCCAATTTGGCATCTCTGCTGACCCTATAATGTCAGCATCTTCAGTAGACTTTGGGCTCTTTCACATTACACAATTACAGTATATCATTATGATTCTACTTATCTGCCATGGCTGTATCCCAAGGAATTCTGGGGTATGGTCAGAGGCATAAGACGAGCTTTCGGGTAAGAATTCTAAATAGCCTCCCCTAAACTGTGAATTCAGAGATGCCATATGATGGAGACATAGCAGTTAAAGTGGAATCACAGTGTTACGGTTGCATAGTGTGAAAAGTCTTTTTGCCTCAATGAGAACAGCAAAGGGTGGTAACTTTAGCATCGAGAAATCACACTGGAGCATCAGAGAAGTTTGTGGGCTGAAAGCTAGTTCCCTGTCTTCCACAGCTTTACCAGTAACCAGTCCAGGCAACCATCTTACTTGCATTATTTAGGGGATTTATCTCTCACACTATTAGTACAGAGTATTAAGTACAGTGCATCAAGTATAACAGAGATATTGGATCTTGCTCAGGACTAAAGGCTCTGAGAGTTGATCAAGAGGGCAGCAGGTCTCTGGTGACATGACTTCTGGTATCTACTTAAAGTCAATTGATCCCAGAAACCATGTCATATAGGGAGAAAGGGGGCTTTCTTGATGTTCAGTGAGCACATTAAAGTCAGTCCCTACTAAAAAAAAATCCTACTCTTAACTCCATGCCTCTTTAAGGTAAGTAAAACAAGAATATCCTTTCAATACTTGCACCTGCAAAAACAAAAACAGAAAACAAACCATGCACAGCATGAGATAATTACTGCAATGGAGCTGCTATGCTGCTTTATGAGGCAAAAAGCAGACTCCCTGGAGAATAAATGGCTTGGTCTTTGGCCTTGTCACTTACCTAGCTGGGAAACAGATCATTGACTGCTTAAAAGCAAGCTGACATAGAATGCCTTGGCAAGTCTATTATTGCTAATAAATCTAAACAAACAGAAGCATAAAGCAGATGAGACAGACTGTGGACACATGCTGGGATTCTACTCTCTGGGGAGAAAAGAAGCATTTGTGATTTATTTATTGGAGCTTGTTTGCCTTTGGAAATCAGCTGTCATTATAAGGTATGGAAAATTCTCTTGAAAACCTAAGATATAGACATCACCACCTCTGTCATTGTTATTAATATTATCACCTGTTTCTCTAGAAAGTACTTTCCCAACCAGATGCCCTGGAAAATTTTGGCCATGTTTAGCAAGTCCAAAGCATACACTCCAGGTCTTAGTCTTGCGTATTTCTATTTTGCCTCAACCTTGCCATAAAATTAATCTACTTCAAAGTATATTCCTTTTACAGCACTGAGTGTTCTCTATAGCATCTTATAGAAAAATGGCATTGTTCTCCTGTTAATTGCCCCAACAAAAATGTCACTAGGTTCCTGAATCTGAAGACAGAATATATACTTTTGATGTCATCCTTGGTGTCATGTATCTTCAATAGCAACAAAACAAGCCCCAGTTTAGTTAGGCATACAACCCTTAGGCCAATTTGATTAGGAGGAGCAGTAAAAATACTGAATAGATGATGGCTACTAGGTGATACACTGAATGTCTCCAGGAAAAAGCAATTTCCAGCCAACCATCATTCTACCCATCTATTCATTTTTCTTGGCACAAAACTAGATTGGATCCAATCCAGGACTGAACATGTGCCATTAAGCTACTTCAATGGCATATGAAAAACCTACGTTTTCTTCACAGGTATTTAGGATACCACCTGCATGGAAGGTAGAACAAAATAATCCTTAATGTAGACCAATAGTTTCCAGATGTCATTCCTCAGAAGTTGTTGGACTTCAACTTCTAGAAGACACAGTCAATATTGCCATGTTTGGTAGCTTGTAGAATAGACATTAGCCTTGCCCCCCCCCACCTCATTCACTCATGTATACACACTGTTCACAACAGCTAACTTAGCAAACAGTTCTGAATCTCTCACTTGAGTGGGTTAAGTAGACGAATACATACCTTCTTTTCACCACTGCCATCATCAGTGAGATTGAACACTGCTAAAGTGCCCGTCACCACCAAGCCCAGACCCTATCGAAAGCAAGGAAGTATGGTGAAGGTACCTATATAAGAGTTGTGAGCTCAGAAAGCCTAATAGTACTTTTCATGGATGCTGTTGTAGACTGAAGTAGACAATTAAGTGAAGTTTGTTATCTGAATGAAACTGGGGAAGAAATCAAACTGGAAAGGTTGGTCTTGGGTCATTAAAAGGGGCGAGGAAAGTGAAAACAAGCAATCTTATCTAAGCTGCATTGTGATATATAAACCATACCAGCAAAATAAAGATTTACGTTTAAGACCTATTCTAGGATTGAAACAGCCAACCAGAGCGGGGCCATTGGTCATGGCCTTGAATGGAAAGAGGGCCTCACACTTTGATAATTTTGAGCATTTGATAAGGGTTTAGGCACAGAAATATATAATCAAGAAAAGAACTATCACTGTCCAACTATGAATAAAAGCATTTGGGTGGTCTTTCCAGATTAAATTTCATCTTGAGACATTGAAGAACAGTTAAGATTTCCTTTTCAGAATTAGTAAATCTAATCTGTGCTGGAGAGGCTGTCAAGAAACTGGTACATATATACACATGTGGTGGTCTTGTAAATATGTTCAAATTTTTTGGGAAAATGTTTTTCAAGAAATAAGAAGAATCACACAAACAGAGATAACAGGAACACTGGAGATAGCACTGCTGTCATTTATTGATAATGTTAAAATACCAAAAGAACTAAAAGAATTAATTGCCAATCTGGTAACAGCAGCAAGATTGTTAACAGCTAAAAAATGGAAGGAAGGAGGGGAGTGCCAATTGGAAGAGTGGTATAGGGAGATCTTGGACAGGAAACATAAAGGTTAAAAGAGGATTATAAAAAAAGATGATTATGGGAAGATTTGGGGAAAATTGATAGAATATGTATATATAGAACAATGGTTCTCAACCTTTCTAATGCCGTGACCCCTAAATAAAGTTCCTCATGTTGTGGTGACCCCCAACCACATTTTCGTTGCTACTTCATAACAGTAATTTTGCTACTGTTATTAAATGTAATGTTAATGTCTGATATGAAGGATGTATTTTCACTATTACAAATTGAACATAATTAAAGCATAGTGATTAATCACAAAAACAATATGTTTGGGGGAGTGTGGGCAACAGATGATGGGATCTGAAGTACCTTCAACCGATGCAGCTCTGACTTCCAGAGACCACTGAGACCCCCCCCCCCCGAAATACAGACCTGGACCAAACTTGGCACACAGAACCCTAATGACCAACAGAAAATACTGGAAGGGGTTGGGAGGAATTGATAGTGAATTATGGGAGAGGTAGTTCACCTACATCCAGACATCACTGTGAACCCAAATTATTATGGATCTGGACAGAACTTGGCACAAATACTCAGTATGCTCATATCTGAAGACTGGTGGAGTTTGGGGAAAATAGACCTTGGCATTTGGGAGTTGCTGGGATGTATAGTTCCCCAGCCATCAAAGAGCATTCTGAAATCCAACCACAATTGAATTGGACCACACTTGAGATGTGTGGAAGGGGCCTGGGTTATCTGGGTCCCCTTCCATACAGCTGCATAAAATACACACTGAAGTGGATTATCTGGCTGTGTGGACACAGATAATCCAGTTCAAAGCAGACAATGTGGGAATTCATTCAGCTGTGTGGAAGGGGCCTGGGTTATCTGGAGCTCCATTCATACAGCTACATAAAATACACACTGAAGTGGATTATCTGGCTGTGTGGACCCAGATAATCCAGTTCAAAGCAGATAATGTGGGATTTCATTCAGCTGTGTGGAAGAGGCCTGGGTTATTTGGGGCCCCTTCCATACAGCTGCATAAAATACACACTGAAGTGGATTATCTGGCTGTGTGGACACAGATAATCCAGTTCAAAGCAGATAATGTGGGGTTTCATTCAGCTGTGTGGAAGAGGCCTGGGTTATTTGGGGCCCCTTCCATACAGCTACATAAAATACACATTGAAGTGGATTATCTGGCTGTGTGGACACAGATAATCCAGTTCAAAGCAGATAATGTGGGATTTCATTCAGCTGTGTGGAAGGGGTCTGGGTTATTTGGGGCCCCTTCCATACAGCTGCATAAAATACACACTGAAGTGGATTATCTGGCTGTGTGGGCTCCCCCTTCCCCAACAGCTAAGACGTTTCTTACCCAGGGAGCAACCAGCCGGTCCACTCACTAACCTTGCAGCAACAACAACAGGCAGAGCCTTCGAGCCAGGGACGGGGGAGGCGGGGCAAGGCAGCAGCGACCCTTTTCCTCTTCCTCCAGTTGCCCATTGAGGAGGACGAGGAGAGGGGACACTGCTGCAGTTTCTCCACTTCTTCCTCTTCCATGGCCAGTTGGAGGAGAAGAAACAGCAGCAGAGCCCCTTCTCCTCTTTTTCCTTCTCTTTCTCCTCGATGGCCAGCTGGAGGAGGCGGAGCAAGAAGAGGAGAAACAGCCGCAGCGGCCCCTGTGCGGCCTCCACGGTTTCTCCTCTTCTTCCTCCTCTTCTTCATGGGGGAACTGACCTTTTTTCTGTGAGTTGTAGTTCACCCACACCAGAGAAATCGACCTCCCCCCATGATGGACCTGGGTCAAACTTGGGCAGCAAGAGCCAGCCCATATGGGGAGCCTTCCGCTTGACCCCTGCCCCTTCTAAGCTCACGGGGAGGGGAGGGCCCAAGAAGGTCTCCAAAAGTAGTGTACCTTCTCCCTTGCGCGCCTTTGCCTCTAAGCTCCTCCTTTTGACTCCATGCAGCCTTGTGGGAAGAGGAGGAGGAGCTGACCAGTAGGGCTGTGCAACCACAGAAAAATTTGTTTCTAAACTCGTTTCGTTTTTAAGGGGTTTTTGCGTTTCGTTTTTTAAAAGAATTCCAAAATTTTTCTTTAAAAAAGTTCGATATTTACAAAATTTCGTAAATTACGAAACAATATCGAAACAATAACGAATCGATTTGTTAATGGCGGACGCGATTGCGCAATACGCTAAAAAACCCTCCAAATGGGACAGGGGGAACTTCTGAAGCTTCCCTCTCCCTCTGTTGTTGACTGTTGGTGTGATAATTTATGATAAAACAAACAACAACTATAAAACTTGCACCAGACATACGGAAATAATAACGAAATAATAACGAAACAATTTCGAAACAATTACGAAACAATTACGAATCAATTACGAAACAATTACGAAATAAATTTTAAATGGTTCAATATCGGATCGTAAGCCACTTTAAATACGAATTATTAACAAATTACGAAATTAACGAACGAAACCGCACAGCCCTACTGACTAGGCGTCCCGACCCCCAGGTTGAGAACCGCTGATATAGAAGGTAAGTGGAACAAACCTGTAACAGAAACAACTGATTTTTGGAAATAAGTATTGTAATTGGCTGGTCTAGGGTGAAGGGTCAGCACTAGGTGATTGGACAATATGTAATAAAGCGGAGGAGGAAACATTATAGGTATTAGGAGATACATATTCTGTACAATTTGTTAAGGGGAAGTGATAAGTATAAGAATGTTTAAACACTGAATATGTTAAAACTACAATAAATAAAAGTTAACAAAGAATTATTAATTCTACACAAAGGTAACAAGGCTAGAAAACATTTTTGAAATTAAAAAAACCTCTTCATCTCATCTTTTGAGGACTTATGTTGTTTTGTCATTAAAATGTCTTGGATACCCACTGAGCTCTTTGAGAGGGTCCCCCACTTACCAAAGCATCCTGATAGGCGTTGGTCCACTGAACTTGTTTTGCCTTCTTTCCTGCCAAGACCATGGGTCTTCCTAGAACATCCAGGTATTCCTGGAGATATGAGAAGAAGAGGAAAAGAATACACAAAGACATTCAGTAATGGAGGACATATAATCTATGTATATGTATGTATAAGGATGTATGTATATTATAGCATTTCTCTTAAAGTAGGTGCAATGGCAATAATGTTTTGATAATACGAGATTGGCTGACATTTTGTTTCACATTAAGTGTTAAAATGACTGCAGGGATGTTGTTGAAAGAGGTTAATTGTATGGGTGCTCATCTATATTGGCAAAAAGCACTGGATTTATCTGGCTAATCTGTATCTTGACAGTATGTTATTGGCATAGTTGCCCCCACATCCAGACATGACCAATGCATACTGGGGATTCATCCTTTTTTAGGAGTACATTTTGAGTTGGAAAATCCTACTCTCCCCAGATATTCACTGAGGGAAAGAGGAGAGAAGCATCCAAGCCAAACGTCACATCCTCCATTCAAGAAGTCATCAAAGTTACCACCCAGACAGACAAGGGGAATTGAGGCTATGGATCTAGATGTGAGCAATAAGTCTTGCATGTATTGGAATTTCCCAAGTTTAAAAGTAAACTCTTGTCTGACTTAGGATGCAAACGTCACCGCTGCTTCTGGAAATTAATCAAGAATACACCATGACAAGAGGCATATGTGTGTGCGTGCGCGCGTGTTTTAAAAACATCATTAGTACAGAGGTACACGCTAAATCCTGAAGCCTTTTGCCAATCCACATGAACACTGAACATGATAAATGTTTTAAATCATCAGAAGCAATCTGAGTTTGTTAAATCCCTCCATTGCCTAAGGCAAGATGAACCAACCAGTAGCCTAAGAGCCAGGAATAGTCCAAGAGCCAGCAATAACCTATGAACCAAACCTACATGCTGCAGGGTCCACTATCCAGGGCCCTTCCATACCAGTAGTGTTCTGCCAAATATGCAGAGTCTAGCTTCCACATCATCCCAACAGCCACCACCATCATGAAAGGAGATACAAAGAGTTTGTACACTAGAGACCAAAAAAGGGAACTTTTCTGAGGCCCCTTCCACACAGCTGAATAAAATCCCACATTTTCTGCTTTGAACTGGAATATATGACAGAATGGACTTAGATATCCCAGTTCAAAGCAGATATTGTGGGATTTTCTGTTTTGATATTGTGAGTTATATGGCTATGTGGAAGGACCCTGAGATAATAGTTTCCGAAGCATTAATAAGTACATGGCCCTGTTTGGATTTGCCCACTGCCTAACCGTAAAGGAATTGCTTTATGAATAAGAGAGATCTTAGAACAAAATGGTGCAGTATTGATATGCTGAATTTAGAAAATTAAAAACAAAAAACACAATGACTAAACTTTTCTCTTGAGGTATTCCAAAGAGATGCGTTCCAAAATCAGTCGATTACTGTATCTCTTGAATGGTAAGATGGCATTGATTCTAAGACGCACTCTAATTTCAGTACCACTACCAATAATAATACATAAGACACACCTGTGATTTTTCGACGCTCTGCATTTTTAGATGTTTATGCAGAGGAAGAAGTGTGTCTTAGAATAGAAGAAATACAGTATTTTAATTTTCAAATTGATTATCACCCCCAAATGTCAAAAAAAAAAAATAACCACAACAAACAACTTCTTAAAATCTTGTTATTACTAGCAATAACATATTGAGAGTGTCCTCCTGCTAAATAACAAATCACTTTTTAAAAGTTTTTTTTTCAAGTTCAGGGAATGTCTAGGATTTGCATTCTGCATTTCAATCCTGGCTCCCAACACAATGAGATAATATTCTACACCTGCTGAGCAGAATCCGTCCACATCAAGCATTTAAAATGGATTTCCCTTTCTCCAGTTTGTTGTAATTTAGGGTGGCGCTGGACCCACTTGTGTTTAGTTTCATCTGATAAACACGGATCCCTTTGATTTCTCCACTGATGGCTCTGACTGGCTTTCAATCTTCTTAAAAAATATGTTTCACCTCCCCCTTCTCCTCTTTTTGTAGTCATTTCTCCCCATTCCTCTCCCATCTGGCTGCCTGCATTCCCACCGCCCCGGAGGGAAACCAGACAGAGGTATTGCTGTGCTTTCTTTCTAACAATCCAAATGACACTCTCCTTGTTCCGATTTGTTCAGCCTCATTTCCCAACATCAACTGTAGTTTTTTTCATGCTGCGATAAACTCAACCATTTAAAATAAAATGGGTTGAAGGAATGGCATTTGCAATGTGTTTCAAAGTATTGTGTTGGGGGGGGGGGGTTTGATGTCATTTGCAGTGGTAACATGACTGTAGGCATCTCCCTTATTCATTGGCCTCTTCTTTCCTTTTCTCCATTTCTGATGGTTTAACAGGAATTATCAGTTCTGATGACAGTGTTAAGGTGGAAGCTCAATTCACACCTCCCTGCATTTGTAATCTTCAGTGTCAAAGAAACACAAGGCATGTAAAGCAGGGATGATCAAAGTAAGTAATGCCTTTTACATTATGGGACTCATGTTTACTTCTTCTTTCTTTCTACCAAGAACACATTTGCCTTCCATAAATGGGAAGAAGGGATTGGGAGAGCTTGGAGGGAGATCTTGTATTTACACAGGAGGTGGCAACCAGGAGAAGGCAGGGCATATTGGGCAGTGCATTTTCCTCAGCTCTATGTAGGAATCATTGCACGTAGGAATCATGAGCCTGAACCCATAATTAGTAGTTCAGCCATGATGTTGTTTTTATGATGTTGTCTGATTATGATGTTTTATTGATTTTTGTTGTTGATTGTATTTTTATGCTTGTTTTTAACCAGTACTTGTTGGGCAAGTCCACTTGTGAGCTGCCCTGAGTCCCTTTGGGGAGATGGAGGTGGGGTATAAAAATAAAGTTGTTATATTATCATCATCATTATTATTGTTGTTAAGCAGTAAAGCTTCTCATTAGATTCCTCGCTGGATCACAACTGTAGAAAGAGGTTGGATTTGGTTGCTGGAGAACTGTGGAGGACACTTCAACAAAACCCCTGGTTTGGTTTACCCATCAGTCTTGAATGTTTTGGTTCACTGTGGGTTTCTGGATATTCTTTTGCCTTATCCTTAGGATTCATTTTCTAAGGATTTTCTGAGCACTTGTGTTAGAAAGTATGATGAATTCCAGTCACTGTAACTTCCAGAAGAGTTGAAAATCAACACTTCAGCTCTTTAGGGTTAGACAACTCTCCAAACAAAATGGAAAATTATAGCCAGTGAGAGAGAGAGATTCAGAGAGGGGGAGGGGGAGAGAAGATAAACATGAACAATAATAGGGAACATTGGAGTCCATACTTGTCTTCCAGAATACAAAGTATCATCACTCCAGGTTGAAATTAATACTGCTGGGAGTTGAATTCCCCCGAGTTTCTCATTTCCTCCAACTACTAAGGGTGCATCCACACTGTGGCATTAATTTCTCCTTAGTGACACCATTAGAACAGCTATGGTTCAATGTTATGGAACTCTATAGTTTTGCAAAGTCTGTTCTCTCTTATTTTCCTTTCCCCAAAAGGCCGTTGCCATCCCAATTTCCCCCTTCTGCAGTGTAAATACACCCTAAGTAATATGGGTCTACTACCTTATTTTTAACCTCCAGTTTTGCTTTTATACAGATCATTATGCTTCTCTTTGCCTCTGCTTCGCGACAATTCAGAAATTGGTTTCACTTAATGCAAACCACTAATCTATGAGTTCCAGGTACTCTCCATTTCCCATTGACAAATGAAGACCTATGACTCCTTTGTCACCTCAATATGCCTTACAACAAATAATGTCACCTGCACACCTAGCAGTGACTTATTTAGCCTGTAATTTCCACTTTTAACATTGAACCCATGGCCACAATGTCTGACCTAATTTTTTGATATTCCAATTTCTTTCCCCAGCCTCAGGTTTTTCTACCACCCAATGGGATACAACATTCTGGAGAACTTGGAAGTTCTAATGTTTTGGTCCAGATACAGGCATTGCCCAACAACAGATTCTGTTTCCTCATTAACCAGTGTAGTTACCTTTATTTTGGTGGGGATTTTGGTAATTATGAAGAATATTACCCTTGATTCAGTGTGGTCTCATATGCCTCATTAAGAGCATGCACCACACACTAACATATTATACACAATTGAATATCTTATTATACCAATGTGCCATGGAATGTGTTAGTCATTTTCTAGTAATGTATATGGTACTCCCACTCTATTCCCCCCACTAACAATGCTCTTAAAATAAAGGATATTTTGGAAAACTGCTGGCCCCCAAAAGCACATAATGTACAACTGAACGGGCAGAGAAAGAAATTGACCAATGGTTGGAGTTCAGGGATCAACGAAAGCAGTGATGACAAACCTTGTAGAGATAGAGTGCTAAAACCGAGGAGGGGCGGATTGGCACTTGGGAGTGACGAGAGGGGTGGTGAGTCCAGGGATGGTGAGGGGGTGTGTGTGTGTGAGTGGCGGCGAGTGAGCTGGGGGCAGGCAAGTGAGTGAGTGGGCAAGTGAGTAGGCGAGGGGGGGGGGCAGGCAATTGGGTAGGTGAGTGAGCAGATGGGTGGCAAGTTTCTGGGATGGTGAAGGCAGGCTATGGTGCGTGCCCCTTCTGGCATTTGTGCCATAGTTTTGCCCCCACTGCACTAGAAGCTTGAAGAATTCCCCGGGACCCAGGATGAGAAGTTCTTTCATCAGGGTCCCAGAACTGAATACATAGAAACTAGCTGGGAGAGAAAGACATGACAAAAGGATGGAAGAGGAGATCATCAAGGCCGCAATGCTGACAGAACACTTTATCTGCAAATTGTATTCTATACACAGAACATCTGTCTGTCCGGTTTTGATGGATTCGTTTCAATTTGTGAAACCTGAGGATGTGGACGAGGTGCTTGGAGGATGAGAGCAACCACATGCATCCTAGACCCCTGCCCATCCTGGCTTCTAAAGGAGGCCAGAGGGGGATTGGCCGCGTGGGTGAAGGTGGTGGTTAATGCCTCCCTTCGGGAAGGCAA